GGTCTATGTGAAGGAAAACATTGTGTCTCTACCTTATCAAACACTTTCTTAAGGGCTGCATATTGAGGAGGAACAACAGTAGACAGAGGTTTGGCTCACATACATCTACAAGAAGGACTCCAATGAACCGCCTGTCTTTCCCTCTAATCAAGAGTTAGGTTATGTTTAAATAACCAAGAAAACCAGAGAAAATAACCTGGAATGTTGTCTCTTCTTTATGCAATATGCCTTCTGCTAGATTAACTGAGTTTGGTGGGTTACTAGCGGAACTGGTAATCTACAATCTATGGCCTCAATGGCCAATGGTGTTTCTCTTCAGGGGGAAGAGAAATCGATGTAGCCTGGTCAATAAAGTTGTCAGCCGATCCAGAATCAATGAAGGCCATAGTACGATGACTAAAGTTACTCAAGCACAGTCACTGAAAGGAGGAACGTATATGAAGCTGGTTTAAGGGACAAAGACATTACATCCAAGGCAGGTCCATTGAATGAACTTGGGTACGGGAGTTTTCTGTACGGGTAGGGAAGTTGTTACACAAATGTCCCTTCTTCAGTAGTTCTTTTCTGCCTCAGACACTTTCGTAGTGCTAACTGCATAGGTTCATGAGCAGGAATAGGAAACAAAACTTGCCAACCTGGAGGACCGGGCGAGACGCAATAACATCCACGTTAGAGTGCCAGAGAACATCCCACCGACAGAACTACCAACCTATTTCAGAGGCCTCCTCCATGCATACGCACCTGAAATCCCCGCTGACATGCTCCTGGTGGACCGAATGCATCGAGTCCCACGGCCCAGACAAAACCTTAGACCCATATCACTACTGAACACAGACATAAAACTGTTCGCAAAATTTTTTGCCAACAGGTTAGCAAACATAATTCCAACTATAGTACATGATGACTAAGTTGGATTTGTAAGAGGCCGGCAGGGGGCGGACGGGACCCGAAAGATGCTAGATCTGATGCACTGCCTCCGGGGAGGGCAACGTGTTCCTCTCCCTGGACGCAGAAAAGGCCTTTGATAGGCTAAACTGGTCCTTCCTCCTCGAGGTGCTAACATTTTTTTATTTCCCGCTGCAATTCCCTGCAGCAGTAACTACACTCTACACACACACACACACAACCTCTGCCAGGGTCACCACAAGTGGGTTCATCTCTGACCCACTAGCCATCTCCAATGGATCATGCCAAGGATGCCCACTTTCCCCCCTACTATATATCCTGGCGCTGGAACCCCTGACCACTCTAGTCCACAACCACCCACACATACAAGGAATAAGGGTAAAACAAAAAATACAAACTCACACTATTTGCTGATGATATACTACTCACACTATCCAACCCAAAGACCTCCCGGCAACAGTTCCCAGCCATCTTAGAAGCCTATAGTAAATGTTCCTATTATAAATTGAATGTGATAAAAACGCAAGCCATGAGTCTCAACCTCCTCAGTATAATGGTGAGGGACCTGAAGTCCCAATTCCAATATGATTGGAGGACCGACCATCTCACCTTCCTAGGTATAAATATGACATCATCGATTACCCAACTCTTCAAAGCAAACTATGTAGCGTTGCAGAATCAGGTGAAAACACTCCTTCGGGGATGGCATAAAAAAATTATCTCCTGGACCGGCCGAGTAGCCGCAGTAAAAATGGTGATTCTCCCGAAATACCAATATCTATTTAGGACCCTCTCCATAAGGGTACAACCCTCCTACTTCACAGAAAACCAAACACTACTGAATCAATTTATTTGAGCCCACAAGAAGCCCAGAGTTGTCATAACCACGCTGTACAGACGTCATATGAGAGGAGGCATGAACCTCCGTAATATACAACAGTACTATCGGGCAGCCAACATTTACCCCATTATCATAGTGCAAACTCAAGAGACACACCCACAATGGGTAGCACTAGAATCTGGCACAGCTCCAGTGCATCATTTTCTATCGCTCATGTGGACCCCTCCACTCTTCAGGCCTAAAGGTACAAAGATGTTACCTACTACAGCTTTAACAAAGCATATCTGAGAGGCCCACAGAGCCACCCTATGTTGGACGAAAGCATACTCCCCAGCGATGACGATTACCACATTACAGCTGCTAATCCCAGACTTTAACTCCCGTTTATGGGAAAGACATCACATTAAATACATCACACAACTAATGCAGAGACAGACAATCATACCTTCCACCAGCTACAAAAAGATTATAACTTCCCGAACACAGCTGAGTTCTCATACTTTCAAGTAAGGGCATGGTTACTCAAACACCATGTACCAACTATGAAAAATGTAAGTGAGCTGCGGCTGACTGCCTTCGAACGGGTAATGACAACACAACTGCCAGCTAAGAAAACAATCTCGCGACTATATACAAGCCTAACTAAGGACGCGAATATCAAAACGCTGCCATTTATTCGAGCTTGGGAGCGCAAGCATAGCCTCAACCTCCAGGACAAAACATGGGAACGGCTATTCGCCACCCACAAAAAAAAAAAACTAACCCAATGCTCATCCCACATAGAACTCTCAAAAAAGCTGCTATATTGATGGTACCTAGTGCAAAAGCGACTACACAGAATACACCCAACAGTATCTGACCAATGCTGGAGATGACTAAATGATCTAGGAGACATGCTTCACACTTGGTGGGGATGCCCAAAACTATCAAAATACTGGCAAGAGGTGGCCAAACTAATGACCTCGGTAACAGGAATCACCATGCCACATAGCCCTGAAACCTTTCTATTACATAAATATCCTCCAAGAATTGCAAAAACAATGGAATACCTCACATACCAAATAAATATAGCGGCACTAACACTAATTAGCAGAAAGTGTCGCAACACTGAGCCCCCAACAATACAAGAATGCATTCACCTAGTGAATCACAATAAGACCTCTGCATGTGCAACAAGAATAGTAGCGAACCAACAGTCCAAGGTGTGGAGAATAGCCTGGGGAAAATGGGCTGAGGTGATGAAAGCCAACACACCAACCACCAAGGACCCAAACAGCCGCGCTCACATAGGTAAACCGTGTAAGGAATGGACTTATAACTGGGGTATATGTTAAACGGATAAGGTATGTGGGGAATAGGACGGCACTAGGCATCTCCTACCATAGACTTTGGCCACCACTGAGCCTCGGATCAGGCCTTAATCTAAACAGAAGCAGAAACAGGCCTGGCCTCCTTAACCCCACTGAAGTGCCCATACAGGAACGGGTCAGGTATACGGCCTGGGAACACTGGCCCACACGCAACAGACACACCATAAACCACAAATGGAACGGTTACAGAAGAACTCAGCCCCTAAGAGTTCTATGGTCCAGGGAACCTCCTCCCCCCCCAGGTTTAGTTCGAAAAGTTTACAACATGTAGTTGACAACTAAATTGTGCAAATAGGTTTGCGTCCTAAGCATCAAAGATGTCTAAGATTATTGTTTTCAAATTGCTGCAATCTAAAATGTCTTCTTCAATGTCACTGTCATGCATGTCTGTGAACAAAAATTGCTCAATAAAAAATAAAATAAAAAAATTCAGGCACTTCTCTAGCGGCGACTTCGTCTTGCAAGGATTCAGTTAAACCTTCAGAGAAGACTGCAGACAGGGCATGACATCCAAGTTCATTATAAATACTATTTTAGGAATTTAGTGTAATCAAGTGTACTCCCACCTGATTCAGAAAGCCCCTCCATAAAGAGGGATCCCTAGAGTAACAAGGAGGCAGAGTTAAATGCACTGAAGGAGTAGGGTGAGGTGAAGGTGAAACCAGGGCAGCAGCCTGTTCCATGACCTCACAAGCTTCTGGTTGGAGACAAGCCATTCTAGTTAGTTTGCAAAGCTTGTGCAAACAGATCCATTCCACGATCAAAATCCTACACCTTAGCCTCACATGATGCTATTTGTTGGCCCAAGTATGCAGATTCTATGGCCCTGTTGGAATGTCCAGGTACTACCCCAACACACAAATTAGAGGCAATAAGAAAAGATAATACACATATCACCAGACCATTACCCCTCCCCCCATGACTATGACAGCTGCTCCTCCTTTGCAAATTATTTTCACAATATTTTGTGGATTGTGTCTGTAGGAATTTAAAGACAGAACTCTCCTAGATTTGCTGTTTGGCTTGACTCTCCAGTATGGGTAACATAAGGCATAGAGTATGGCATTATATAACTGTGCTGTCCCCAATGTGTGAGGAAGAAGGTAATGTGATATTTGTTCCAATAGATGTACATATCTATCAGATCTAATCACTAGAGTAGAGAAAAAGGGCAGTCAAAAAAATATAAATAATTTCCATTATTCTGAAAAATACTACTGAGATCTCGAATGCTACAGTTGTGATCTTAAGCTTTGAATAGTTAAAACTGGATAACCCACAGACCAAAGCTCAGGCAGGAAAAATCAACTGCAGTTAAAATCTCATTAAATTGATTGCAATCACTTTACAAGCACAAAGATCAAAGAAAGTCTATGTGAACATTGTTAATTATAGAGCACTCTATGAGCAATTTTAATATTAAGACTTCAGTGCTTCACCCACTTGAGATAATTCTCCCATTTTTATAACCTCCTAGTCATGTCAAGTAAGCCAAGCCTAACAAATCTCTCGCCTCATTTTGGAGATTTTGCAAACAAGAAAAAAATAAATTAATTGAGCTGTTGGGTGGGAGTAGATATTCAAAATTAAAAACATAAAAAAAGCCTTGATGAAGAGGCAACACATATACCAAGGCAATTCATGTCATGATTTAATTTGTATTATGTGCCTTTATTTAAAATATTTATAAAGGTTACGGACTGTAATTATTGTGCAAAAACCATTATTTGAGCTTTATGGATACCAAACATGAAGGACAGGTCATGATTTTGTTCTGCAGTGCCTCTGTAGCAATAATTAATGTTTAGCATATAAAGTAAAATAAAATAAGCTATAAATGGCTTTCACGTTTACTTTAAACTGTAGGAAAAAAAAAAAAACACTTATGCAAATGGAAGAATATGTTTTATTTAACATGAAAAACTAACAAAGTATGGCATTTCAACAGCAGTACTTAAACTCTGCAGAAAAGTTAGCGCTTTTAGAAAATGCTCCTTTAGATCTTCAGGCTACTTGGAAGTTCTAGATCACCTGCCATGATCAGATTCAGAACACCTTTTACCTTTTTTACCACCCTAAGAAAAAAACAAAAACAAATTAATAAGGTTCTAGACTTTACATTGCAGATCTCTCAATTGCATTTTTTTTAGATTAAAATTTTTATTGATTTTTACATAAGTAGAAACATAGATACATTACAATAAGTAACATTTAAATACGTACAAACTAACAATACAGACTTACCGTGTTTCTCCGAAAATAAGCCTGGGTCTTATATTAATTTTAGTCACAAAAAACACACTAGGGCTTATTTTCAGGGTAGGGCTTAGAGCCAGTCTGTCAGCCGGTGTCCGCGCTGTGTAACCCCCCCCAGAGACCCTCCCCTCCCCCTCCCTGTAATATTCTCCCCCCCCTCCCTCCCTGTAATACTCTCCCCCCATCCTGTAATACTCTCCCCCTCTCTCCCTGTGTAATACTCTCCCCCCTCCTCTCCCTCTCCTCTCCTCCCTGTATCCCCCCTGTAATACTCTCCCTCCCTCTCCCTTCTCCCCCTGTAATACTCCCTCCTCCCTCCTGTATTACTTCCTCCTCCTCCCTGTAATACTTCTCTCCTCCTGTAATAATACTTCCCTCCTCCCTCTGTAATACTTCCTTCCTCCCCTCCCTCCCTGTAATACTACTTCCTCCTCTCCCTCCCTGTCCTACTTCCTCCTTCCCTGTCCTTCTCTCCACTGTGTACTCTCTCCTCCTGTACTTCCATCCTGTAATACTTCCCCCCCTCTGGTAAGCCTTCCTGTACTTTGTGTGGCCGATCTCCATGTGCCGTATTGCCGACCAGTGTGCACTTCCTGTCAGTCCGGGCGGGTCGCGGACCGGAAAGGAGCTCGGCCACGCCACAGGGTAGGTGAGGTGAGGCAGTGCGGCAGCCGTCTGAGCGCTCTCTATAGAGCGCTCAGGCGGCTGAGGCATTTAAAGGGCCTAGGTCTTATTTTCGGGGTAGGGCTTATATTGCAGCCCACCCCGATAATCCAGCTAGGGCTTATTTTCGGGGGAAACACGGTATATCGTTTGAGTTTAAACACCTTATATTACAATAAATAACAATTACACACAGACTAACTACAGATTTATATAGTTTGAGTTTCTCTACCTCAAAGTGAAATGGTGTTAGGTTTTATTTTGTCGTTACTTATTACTACCATAAATAGAGAATAGTGTAATAGGTAGTGACCCTCATAATTTGATGATTAATTAAGTAAGCTGATATTAATCCAATTTTACTCAAATACTAAGTGCAAATTACTCATTAACTTATTTCATGTAGTGTCTTAATAAATAAATATACCTACAATTCACAGAATAACGAAAACAGACAAAAACAAATATAAAAAAATGTAATTATATATAGATATAAGTAGGTTAGGGTATCGTGTGTGCCATAGGTACATTTTTGTAAGAATGGGCTCGCTGTGTGTTTTGATGTTGTTTAGTAAAGTTGGTTACGAGACACTATTTCAATTGTAAATTAATGACTTAAAGGACCACTATAGGCATTAAGACCACTTCAGCTCAATGAAGTGGTCTGGGTGCCAAGGTCCCTCTAGGGTTAACCCTGCCTGCTGTAAATATAGCAGTTTCAGAGAATAGTGGCTGTCTCATTGACAGCCGCTAGAGGCGCTTCCGCGCTTCTCACTGTGATTTTCACAGTGAGAAGATGCCAGCGTCCATAGGAAAGCATTGAAAATGCTTTTCTATGGACTGACTGAATGCACGCGAGCGGCTCTTGCCACGCATGCGCATTCAGACGATGACGTCCGAGGGAGCCTGGAGAAAGGTGAGTGTTTAACCCCCTTCCTTCAACTTCAGCCCGGCGGGAGGGGGGCCATGAGGGTGTGGGCACCCTCAGGGCACTATAGTGCCAGGAAAACAAGTTTGTTTTCCTGGCACTATAGTGGTCCTTTAATTTGTTTGAATGTATAATTAAATGCTCATGTTGTAGTATTTGTGCCATTTAACCCAAATTTTGTTATATTTCATGATGTTTCCATTATTAAAGTAACCTGCTTTTTCCATTTCTCCTTGGTGATTTATTTGGGTTGTAATTTCAATAAAGGTGGGGGGTTTTCCGCTCTTCCAATATCTTGCAATACAGATCTTTGTTGCCATCAAAATGTGAATTAGCAGAAATTTTTCAGCATTTAACGGACATTTAAGATTCATATGAAACAAACTTTTCAGGAGTCAATTCCAATACTTCTAATTTTAAATCTTTAAACTCTTTAATCCAATTAAATTTTGGACAGTCAGATATGTTTAATCGTTCCAAGATTTTTATTGCATCTCCAGCATTGATTGGAGTACTGAGCTTTAAATTTACATAATCTTATGGGAACTAAATACCACCAGTTAAGAATTTTTCAACATATTTGTACAATGTACCGATTTAATAAGATATCCAATGGATTCAATCCATGTTTGATGGGAAAAAGAAATATCAAGGTCCTCTCTTCCCATCTTCTAATAGTTCAAATTTTTCTCTACTGGGGTAGATTTATTAATAATCTGTCTAAGGTTAGAAGAAGTGTGTCTATAGGGGAATGGTCCACTAGTTCAATTTTGTTTTATAAAATTAACAATTCTCAAGTATGTGAATTTTTCATTATCAGATAGACCATATTTCTGTTGCATATCCAAATAGGTAATGGGAGATATATTGGAGCCCAACTGACCAATTTTAATTATGCCTTTTATTAGCCAGTTAGTTATGTTAAGATCTTTTATAAATAATTTAACCACTTCTAATGAAGCTTTGCCAGAAATTTGATGATTTGAGAAATGGTCGCATTATCAATCCTTAAATTCTTAAAATTTTTACTATCCAGCCCAAAAAAATAGAAAAGGATCCATATTTTTAACATTTTTCTTCTTGATCTGATACCGCTTTTTTTTTTTGAGAGTTTATGTTTCCCCATCTATTATGAATTGTTATTCATTATTATTAATCAGCTGAATATTGGGAAAGGAGAGACCTCCCTCACACATGTGCGCTATCATTATCTATCGAGTTATTCTTGCTTTTTTTTGTTAGGGACTCTTAATGGTATCGTGTGAAAGAGGTACTCTATGTTAGGCATAAGATAAGCGTTTAATGTATTTAATCTACCTACCTATCCAGGATATTATTGTGTTGCTCCATTTTTTTTATGTGATCTTTTAAATCTATAAGAAGTTTAAAGTAGTTTAAGTTTATCCATGTATTTATATCAGCGTTAATTAGGGTTCCCAGGTATTGTATTGACTGAATATCCCAATTGCACCTATATTTTGTCTTAAATAAATCTTCTTGGGTTTGGGAGAGATTACAGTGTATTATTTGAGTTTTTTGAAAATTAATTTTATAATTATATATTATATATAAGAAACTACTATATTCACCTATACATTCCATAGCTGAAGGAGATCACCAGGTGGGTAAAGATAAGAATTATGTAATCCGCAAATAGTGTTAACATGAGGTCAGCATTATCATTTGCAGTATTTAAAATGTATTATATATTAAATAGAAACGTGTCAGTGTTCTTTACTAAACTCCAAATTTTACCAAAATAAATCTGAATGTCAAAACAGATGCTAGAATAGATGTGACCATAGCAGAGTTGGAGATTGCCTCAATTTTCCCATTTCAATTTAATATCCTACATTTGGCTAATAACTCTGTATGTGTTTGTAATCCGTTAATGACGGCATGATATGCTTATATTTGATTTAGCATTGCTGTGGTTTTATCTCACTTTCAGAGTCCAGAGGAATCTGCCACTGTCCATCCTCATTGCTGTGCTGCACAATCAGAGCTGGATACATGATATGGTATCTAAATATTTTTTTTATTTCAAACCTCTCCAATGTTTTTTTTTTTTTTCTTTACATATTCTACACATGAAAATAAAATGACTTAATTTTACCTGGTATTTTACTAGCTCTGCTTGTAAAACCTTCACTTTAGATCGTTCTTGTTCCAATGCAACATGTAGTGCTGTCACCTAGAATTGAATGACGGATTAGATTAAACTACTTTTTGTTTTTTTTAAGTTTCTTTGCATCAAATAATATATGTGGCTTCAACTTTCAAAATAAAATTACGGGTTGCGGTTTTAAAGGGTACAGTGATTTTAAGTAGATTTGGCTATTCATATATTTTCTCTCTACTATCAAATTACATTTTGTACAGTTGTATTACATTAGTAGGCTAAAAGAGCCCATGGTGTGTAAAGAAAACAACACGTACTGTATAAATTACATGCTTCTTTCTCCCTCCACTATATCCAGTCTGCCTTATGGCAGACCGAGAATCTAGTACGTGACAAATTCTTACTGCTTCTTGCAGGTGAATGCTTCTGTCAATCTGGAAAAAAATGTATCTCTCACTATAGGAGCTATGGGATCTTTCAACTTATGTTTTTTGATTTTTAAGTGCAGCTGATCTAGATATGAACAGAATGGTGCAAGTAGAGTTCAATGCACACACTAGAAACCTACCGAATATATTTTTTATTATTTTGGCAAATGCCATTTCAATCTATTTTCTAATACTCTGTCAAAAATATGGGTTACTTCCAACATGGAGTGTCTATTTAAATAATTAAACAGTACTATAGTCTTTTAATGAGAGAATGTCTCAACAATTCATACCTGGGAGGTCAATTCATTTTTAATAGAGAGCAATTCATCCACCTGCAGAAGAATTTCTGCTTTGTCTTTCACTGGAAATGAGAAACAAGAATTATTAATAGGATAGCATTTAAAGCACAGTGCAGAATGATAAGAAAAACACTTCTATATATACTCACTTTCACCTTCTTGTAACATTTTAAGAAGCTGTGCATTTCGTGCTTTCACTTCTTTGTATTTTGCCTTTGAAGGAAGCAAATATGATAGAATGTTAAACAGGTTAATAAAAAGAATCCAACGCCCCCTCCAAAAAACAACACACACTTCAGAAGATATTCAGACCACTTCCTTTAATGACAAAAAAAAAATAAAAAATGATTTTTGAAAACTGAAATATCATATTGACCTTAGTATTCAGACCCTGTCAGGGTATTTATATCGGCAGACATCTTGTGCTATGATAGAAATTAAAAGTGTATATTCTGAGTCACTCTGAACAGACCAGACTCCATTTTGTTATTTTCAAGCTAACAAAAAGACACAAGATATCTGTAAAACTAACCACTTTGCCAGAGCTAAAGGAATGCATAGTATATACAAACCAAGTGATAAGGAGAACGGGGGTTGGATAGACTGTCGAAATGCTAATGGAATAGATCAATTCTAAACCCAGACATTGGTGACAGAGGAGATTAAATAATAAAATTTTACTGTCTATATGTATAAGGTCCCATTGTAAGTTACGGGTCAAAACTCAGAATTTGCCAGACACATAGTCTGGACAAAACTTAAAGAAACCCTTTGATCTGAAAGGATACTTAAATTATGGCCACTATAAAGATAGGCCAAAATGACGTCAAAATAGCCACCAGGAAAAGTTAACTCTTTCCTGGATAGGTATGTTTAGTGGGACAAGACTGGCCTCTATAGACCAAATACCTAAATTGCGATCTGAAAGATAACCACACCTCTAGTGCTTCTATTGGGTTATCAACTGATGACGTACAGAGAGTCTGGCCCTTTAAAAGTTAGGACAAAGGGAGAAGAGAAAAAAATGCAAAGAAGGCAAAGAAGTGAGCAGTCGGGAGCAATGACACTCTAGGACACTATTACCTACACACCTCCATGCAGAGAGACATCCAAATAAGTTCCTGAGACTACCAATCGGATGAAATATCTACTCAACTGGTAATTATACTGGTTTCATTTAATTAATTAAATTAATTAAAATTTACAAATAGCATGATATATGACTAGATAAAGCACTGTCAGATTTCCATATTAAGAAATCTTAGTTAACTAAAGAATATATAGTTATAAACATTCCATTATGCAGGTGTAATTAAGAATAATTATATATTGATGTGATATTATCACGTGTTAGCATACCGCTGTTTTTATCCAGGTGTATTGATTTGCTCTAATATAAGATAAGATATCTGTTTAGGATAATTAAAAACAAATTCTGCTTTTGTAAAAATCATGGTAGATTCTCTTATTGGATGGTTCCAGGAAATGACTAATGAACTGGTTTAAATGTTATTTTATTTAAAGGTCTAGCCAGCATTGAAAGTGTTATTCTAACCGTTAGCCAGGGTTTTATGGCCTTCGCTGTGAAAAGCTTCCCTCTATGTCTGTGAAAGATAGTCATAAATCGTGTAAGCCTTGACAGAAAATGCTGTTTAGCCATTGAAACGTGTATAGCCATTCCTTTGTATTGCATACCATTTTATACTGGATATTCATTGATTATTGTCACGCATGTTACATATTATTATTATTATTATTATTATTAATTAATTTGTTATTATAAATAAATCTATTTTTATAAATTTTGACATTATTTATATGGTATACATTTCACTTAACACGATAAACGTTCTTTGGGATCTGAGAATTGAAAATCGTGGGCAATTCTCAACTGTTTACTATTATTATGCCATAAATATCCCCACAACCCTTTGCCATGACACTTGAAATGTAGCTTCGGATCACCTTTTAGAATGTTTTACATTTTGATTGAAGTCCATCTGTTGCAAATTCAATTGTTTTGACATAATTCGTAAAGGTACACACCTATCTATATAAGGTCTCACAGCTGTGTATCCATATCATAGCAAAAACCAAGCCATGAGGTCAAAAGAACTGGGTTCGGACACAGGATTCTGTCAAGCCACAGATCTGGGAAAGGCTACAAAAACACTTTTGCTGCACTGTGTTTGTATTCCTGACACTATAGTGTTCCTTTAAGGCTCTGAATACTTTTATGTCAATGTGATATTTCAGTTTTGTTCTGTTTCATCATGGGATTTCAAGTATGCATTGATGTGAAAAAAAATTAAGCAATTGTAGCATAATGCTGTAACATAAAAAAAAAAAAAAAAAAAAGTCTGAATTTACAATATGTACAGACCGTGATTGTCATTACCTCCCACTGAGAAATAACAAGCCTTAGCTGTTGTATGTCTGTGTCTTTCTTCTCTATTTCAAGTTTTAGCAACTCTGTTTTTCCATCTTTGAGTACAGGTTCCTAAGTGCAGAAAAAAAGCAAAGAACAAAAGAACAAAGAATAAAGAAAACATCAGCATATTTAATACAAAACGTTCGGAAAAACATTCTCAATGACTTTCATCCTCATAAAATAAAATTGTGCAGGAAGAAAATGAATATAAAATCTAAAGCTTTCAAGATTGTGTATGTATATTAAAGGATTTTCTCTTGCCTCATTTTGTAACAGTGATATGCACATGTGTGCCTACTCTACAGTTCTTCCTAATTTCCAGAAGTATCTTCAGCAGTGTTTCATTTCCTCACACCAATAAATGCTATTGAAGCATCATTTACTGGAGTGATAAATGCAAAAAATAAATAAATAAATACAAAACAAAATAAGACACATATACTCTGCTTATGAATTATTTATTACTGGTGTTTATAAAGCGCTAACATATTCCGCAGCGCTGTACAATTAGGGAAGAACATACAATATACACAGACAAATACAAAAGGTAGAGAGGGCCGTGCCGGTAAGTGGAAATCTAGCCATTAAAGCTCTTTAAGCTTTAGCTAGATAGCCCATGAGATTACAATCTAAAGGTGCCTCGAGTGCGCTCATGCTTACTTAAGCATTTACAAATTGCCATATTTGTGTTTACCAGAACAAGTGAGTGTGTTTTAATCAGAATTTTGCTAAAAAGAACTTCACACCACCTCGAACACGAGAGCACGTCTTAAACTTGCTACAGTGAAGCAATGCACCATAAAAACAATTATTGTGAAATAAAAATAAAACACCACCGCCATATGTAAAAAAAGCTAGCCCTTTTAAAATAAAAACACAGTTTTTACGCAACTTTTATCCAGCACTGGGCAGTCTCACTGCTACAGTCTCTTCCCCACTTCTGAGATCTGTCTGGATAATATCTATCGTCAGAAGCATTGAGGACCTACTGAGCAAGGGCAGATGCTTCTCATAAGCATTCAAAAAGTTCTCCAGAATCCTGTGCGTGATTACACTAAGTGTGAAGACTTTAAATTATTTGTTCCCACAGTGCCTGTAGTGGAGTGTTTATGGCAGAACTGGTGCTCAGAGTGTCCCCTTTAGAACAATAACAAATAACTGGAATTATTCCTCTAGTTGTTAACACACAATACCATGAAACGTTTGGATGCCTTTGTATCCATAGAGAACAATACTCTCTCGTGGGTTTGAAAGAAGGTACAGTCTGAATAGTGACATTACAAGTTATTGCTCTAAGATAATCAAAGAGACGGTGTGCAATAATAGAGATATAGGACATAACAAATGATCCCTCTATATTATTATTTGTATTATTTTAAACAAGTCTAACTTCACAGCATTATGCACTAATATGGTATATTTTAGTACAGCCAATGGCTGTCAGACAGATAGAGAAAGTATTAGGCCGAACTGGAGTACGAAGAACAAGAATGCTCTTTTTTAGACATTAGCAGTAGTAGTGTGTTTGTTCATAATAGCTACAGCATTGCTACCAGGGGAAGAATAATATTACATGTCATTAAGCCCTTCAGCTGTATAGATATGCTATAACATACCGCAATGTGTTCTGTAGATATAGAATTTCCAGCTGAATCGTGGAAGAGGTTTTGTTCTTTTCTTTTTTCCTTTAGAATTATTTTGCTCACATCGTCTTCCAACTTATTGAAAAATCCACGGTCTTGAGGTAACACAGGAGAAGATTTTGTATCCTGGAAAGAAAGGAACACTTTTATGGACTATAAATGACTAAATTAAATTTACACAAAATATATATTTTTTTAAATCTGGGGTGGGCACATATATATCTTCAGCTATTATTAAACAAAACAACTACCATACGGCACAACATGCATCATGACATGTAGCTCGTGGTTGTACTTGTATTGTTCACTATTAAAACGAGTACAAACATTCTGACTGTGTATGGATGCAAACTAATCAGCATACTTACTGCACTTCCCGAGCTTACCTCTGTTTTTTTGGTATGTTGTTCTGAAAAAGACAAAAACACATCAATTTATAAATATGAAACCTATTATGTTGTATCCTTACAACATTAACATTTAATTTTACTGGACAAAAAAAAAAAAAAATAGACAATTGCAGATGCTAAGAAAAGTAAGCTTAATGGTCCAGATGTTCACTCTACACTCCTATAAATACAAATACCAAACCCAGCATAAATGGATTATATCAAATACTCTTACCTAGCTGTATGAACCACAGTGAATAACATATAATAATAATAGCAAAAGTACAAAGTGTTCCAATCCAAGTAATAAAGTGTTCAAGTAATATTGATCCACTTTGTTAAATTTCAAAATATCTGCAACAAAGCACAACAAACCATAGTGCTTTCTATAAAAACAGATCTTTAATGGCACAAAAAAATTAACATGTACAGAATGTCGGATGGTTGCAGGTATCTCAGGAAAATAACTCACACATAAATCCAATGACAGCACTAGGTTTAAGAGGAGTTCCTCTACAGTAGCAGTCAAGTAGAGAAGTCTGCTATTCTATCATACCAGTTGTGTGATAAATCCTGGAAAAAGTGCTTTGGCGTACGTTCCAACAGTGCACGCCATTCGTATAAGGCCATCGGCACTTTACACAAAGGGGAAGGAACGTGGGGTGTAAGCTGGTTTACTGGGGCAAATAGGCTCATTCATGTGACAGGATCTACAAATGGCTTGGCCAGTGTTGTGGGCTGCAGTTAAAGTGGCACTGTCACCGTCTGGTGATATTGCAGTGTGGGTATGGTGGCTGGGGGGTTTATGGCTAAGGTTCTACTTACCTGACTTACTTAAACCTGTCTCTTGTAGGCACCACCATACTTTCCTGGCCAGTCCTTTTTGGCCAGGAGCAGACATCAATTCTGCACACTCGCGCATTCACAAAACAGTGGGATTTTCTATAGAGCCAATTAATCTGCAGCTGTCATTGGTTACGGCTGGGGGATTGATACTTCTTGATGTCGTTAGTTACGCCCAGTGTCAAGAAGTTTCAAGCGTTGGAAAAATACTGAGACAAAGTAGTTCCTACTTTGTCTCAGTATATCTTTTGACTAGGTTGGAATTTCAGTGAAATTCCATCACAGACAATGTGAGCATTTCATACAGATTCTATCTTTATGGAATACTCATTTTGCATGGGGGGATGACTGTGCCGCTTTAAATAAAAATAAACAAAAAGGTGGGAAACACAATATAAACCCAAAGAAGGGACTTTTCTCCACACTTTGACAGAGTAATTGAGAGATACACTCCTAAAAAATGTGACTGACTGGTAGCCTGTCGTTAATTCTTCTCTGTGAGAGACTGGCTAGTCAAGTCACTTGCACAGCAGCCCAAGCATTTTCTTGATTACATAGCTGAAAAAAGACTTGCGTCCATCAAGTTCAGCCTTCTTCACATATGTTTTTGCTGTTGATCCAAAAGAAGGAGGATTTCCAACTAACTAGGAAAAAGTTAATTCTTGACCCCAAAATGGCAGTCAGATATCTCCTGGATCAAGCAGCTATTACCCCACTAATTAGAAATCATATCCCTGTATGTTTTATTTTTATCGAATTGCAGTTTAAACATCAGCATTGACTCTGATAAAACCACCTCATCAGGCAGAGAAGTCCATATCCTTATAGTTCTTACTGTAAAAAAACAAAAACCTTTAGTTTGCCTTAGATTAAATCTCCTTTCTTCCAGCCTAAATGTGTGACCTTGTGTCCTATGTATAGCCCTGTTTATGATTAGATTTCCAGATAATGGTTTGTACTTGCCCCAAATATATTTGTATAATGTTATCATATCCCCTCTGAGGCTGTCTGAGTGACTGCGACTACAGGTGTTCAACAGCAATGTAAAAAGGCAGTAGTTACATTGAAAAGCCTGCAGGGACATAAGATAAAAATACAACTTTCTCTGGGAGGCTAGCAGCTTTTTTGAAAAGATGTTTTTTGAGGGACTTTTTAAACTATTAAAGACTAGAGTGTCTGATGGGGGTAGGCAGGCTATTCCAAAGGAAAGGAGCAGCCAGTGAGAAGTTCTGCAAGGCAAATATGGGTGCAGTATGGGTGCGAGCAACGGACAGGAGAAGGTCACCAGCAGAGCAGTGAGACGGAGAAGAGGTATACCTATGTATCAGTGAATAAAACAAAACAGGGGCTAGAGTTGTTTAAAGCTTTATAGGAAAGGGTAAGTATTTCAAATTGGCACCTATAGGATACAGGAATCAAATGTAAAAATTGACAGTGGGGAGGTGCGAGAGGCGCAAAAGGCCCAGCAGAAGAATTCATTACAGACTGTAGCGAGGCAGTATGGCTTCAGTAAAGAACAATTAGGAAAGAATTACAGTAACCAATGCAAAAAATTACTAGAGCATGATCAAGCTCCTTTGCAGCATGTTGCATAACAAAGGGGCGGGTGTGGACAATCTGTTTGAGGTGGAATCGACAGGTTTTAGCAACAGACTGGATGTGAGGCCAGAATCAAAGATGACACCAAGACATCGAGCTTGCAAGGACTTGCTGATGCAGGTACCATCAACTTGCAGGGAGAGTGAAAGAGCAGGAGCAGTATTATGAAGAGGAAAAATAAGAAGCTCAGTTTTAGAGAGATTGTGTTTCACAATGCAGATAGACATCAAGACAGTGATGGAAAAAAAGTCAAGAGAAGACATACAGAGGGTAGCAGAATACAAATTACTTAATAAGTTTGCCAATCGGGGCAGTATAAAGAGAGAACAGAGCTTTGGGGGACTATAACCGAAACAGTACGGGAGGAGGTGGTGTCATTGGAAAAGGAGACACTGAATGAACATTGGGAGAGATAGGAGGAGGACCACGAGGGGACAATGTCACAGAGAGAAGGAGGACATGATCAAGAGAGTACAAATACAAAAAAACAAGTCCTGCGCTACAAACTCCCACTATTCTTGGGCGGCAGCAAAGACCATAGTACACATCAGCCTCAATACATACAGTAAAACCCAAAGAAAAATGATCAGGAGAGTGTCAAATGCGGCAGAAAGTTCAAGAAGAATTAGTATAGTGGCAATTAGATAATTTGTAACTTTAATCAGATCGTTGTCAGTAATGTGGAGGGGGTGGAAGCCAGATGAAGAGGGAATTGAAGAATCAAGCCATATGAGTAAAGACTTGTATTTTTAGAAGCGTTGAGGAAAAAGGCAGCAGGGATATGGAATGATAGTTGGAATGGCAAGAGATGGCTTTTTTAGCGGAGCACAAGTAACGCCAAGCCTCAATATCAAGCCAGTAACCAACCTCATGCTGAGTTGCATTAACAACGAAACAGCTGTCCATGAGTGGTTCACTGGCTTTGCATCTCTTCCTGAGTTGTGTTTCAAAGCTGTTGTATACAGCAAACATGAACTCCAAGGAATCCATGTTTAAAATGGAAAATGAAATGAGGCAAAAATGTGATTCTTTTTTTAACTAATCCCTTGCAGTAGTAACATCCCTGCAAATTTGTGATTTCTGTGGGAAAAGCAAGTCTTATGGCTTGACTCATGTGCAGATCTGTGTTTGACATTGTACTGACTATCCACTGACTTCAGGTGGAAGGGGTTTTCAATCACTATTTTTCCCCATCATAATTTTTTTGGTTTATGCTTTAGAAAAAAAATCCATGGGCATTTTAGCCTCCAAAGTCTATCCACCCTTTCATAATTCTTACATGCTCCCTAAAAAAACGGAAACCCTCCCCCCCCACAAAAAAACCCAACCTTTCCAAGAGGCTCTCAGATCATTCAACTAACCCCAACTCACACGTCATAGATTTTGTTAACACATCTTTAATGGTGGAATTGTCACATTCCCATACACACAACTATGATCAGGCGTTAACATGTAGAAGAAAGGGAAAAAAAATAAATCCACAACTAAACAAACACCCTGAAAACAAAGATACACAGCTTACTAATTAAAAATATTCACCTGTGTGGAGCACCCTTGGGTTTCTTTAGTAATACTCAGTAGGGTATTACTATAGCAACATGCACCATATGTAATGATGCAACATATATGCAAATACTTTGTTCTTTTACACATGGTAACATTTTCATCAGTAGTTAATTTTACGAGTATTTTAAATCAAGCTGCATTTTTTTTCCTTTGAGACACCCCTAACACATTGTATTTAGTGCAGCAGATTATTTTGCTGCATAATATAATTGTAATTAATAGTTAATGATCACAGTATTTCATTGAACTCCTTTTTTAATTTACTTTTTGTGTAAAAAAGAATTCTGTTTTTACAGTGCTCTGACATTGAATCACACATGAGCGATCGAATAGGGTTATTTACTAAAACAAGAATTGTCAGGATTTCAAAGAGGGTTGCACATGTAAGGCCTACTTAGTCAAATTTGGAAAATGCTTCCTTTTCAGCTACTTTGCCCTTAAAATTGAAATGCACATTGAATTCTCACTTTAGTGAATATCCCTGTTAATGTTACAATAAGTACAATATGAAAACCAAATCACTCACCAGTCAAATATAATTGTACACTAGAAAACAGGGCAGGATTAATACCTACCTACTACTTGTTATTCATGTAAGAGAGTTGTGACGGACCTTTTGTTCACCTAATCCTGGTACTGGTCTCCCCAACTCTCACCCTCTCCAAAAAGACTATTTACACTATTTGTTGACCCTCCTTTCGGCATCTCTTGAGCCAACCAGACTTGTTTGCAACCCCAGAAGCAGCCTTTACCGGCCAGGAAGCTAGGAAGATACAGTGCACCTGACCGGGAGTAGCTATGAACTCTTATGGAACTCTATAGCAAAGCTCTGAGGCGCTCAGTCCACAAACTTCAAGATGAGTGCTATTAGTCCCTGAACCAGCAAACTGGGAGCTTTTTGAAGAGTTGAAAGAGGAAGTGATGAGGCATCCAATGACATCAAGAACTTGGGGAAGCTCCATGTACCCACGGAAAGAGCTACGGTTTTAGGTGACCGGAGACCTCTACCCAGCACTCCGTAGCCTTGTACCGGATCCTGTCACTTTTTGGACAGTTTGGGCGCTTTAGAGAGACCTTTCCGGGGATGTATGACATGTGGGGGGTGCTTCACTGTATTCTAGATGTTTTCTAGGTTCTTCGGTATTCAGCTTTCTGTGTCCGGGAGATAATTAATTAGTTTAATCAAGAGCTGACTCAATTATCTCCCAGACACAGAGACACCTGGGCGGGGGTTATGTTGCATTGAATGGAGACCCCACGCTGTGGGTCGGTGTTTAAAAAAAACTGTTCTTCACCCTTCACCAAGTCTCGACTAGTGTTTAGGTGAGACAGCGTTACCTTGTGCAGGAGGGTATAATCCCTCTAGAGCTATACACAACTGGGAAGGGACAACCTAGGCGGTAGTAACCCCTCTTCTCGACAGTATACTACAACAAGAGTAGTTCGTACAAGACTGATATCCTATGTTACCTCTGCAGGCAATATAAATCAAAGAATCTTCTTTCCTGCTACTCTTAGATCGATCCCTCAGCTCCAAAAGAGGACTGGTTAGAACACAACCTGCAAATCCAGGATGATAAATTAAACAGCCAAACTATCAAAATAAGAAAACTTTGCCATATCTGTGTGTGAGGCTTACCCCTCATTTCCCCAAGTCCAATAAATCAAACTGTGCTCTCAGATCAGATAACTGATCTTCAATGGTAGTATAAACAGGGCTGTAAATCTCCCCTGTGGTGAGTGTACCATGGACATTCCATGCAGTGGAAAGTAACTTTTAAAGCCTGACTAGTAATGTAGGACTGCAAATTTTTAAGGGATTCTATAGTACCAGGAAAACAAACAATTTTCCTGGCACTGTAGGCTCCTGCAGTGCCCCTCTCCCACGGTGCTGAAGGGGTTAAAACCCCTTCAGTCACTTAGCTAAATAAGTAATTTATGTCCCTCGGCGATGGGTCAGGCTCTGCTCACGCTCCTTCCCTGCCGACATCAGCTGGCGGGGGAGACCTAATAAGCATATCTAACAATGCTTTCCCCATAGGGAAATTATGGGATTATTCAATGCTTTCTTATGGGAAAAATCTGACACTGGATGTCCTCATGCAGAGCGTGAGGGCATGCAGAGTCAGATAACGGACCAAAGGTCAGTTTCGATTCCAGAAGTCCCTCAATTGGCAGTCTGGTAGACAGCCACTAGAGGAGAAGTTAACCCTCAGAGGTAATTATTGCAGTTTCTCAGAAACTGCAATAATTACCTCTGTAGGGTTAAGGCACATGGGACAATGCATTCAGACCACCTCAACACTCCCAAATATTACACTGTTCCCAACTACCTACCTGGCCAAACGCAAGCTATCTTTTACAAAATAGAATGCAGAGTTTAATACAAGCTGCAAAATGATCCATAGTCAATAGGTAAACACTTTCCAAATCAAAAAAGGTGGCCTGACAGATCCACATCTTACGATTATTACACATCCATACTGGTACAGCACAGAACTTAGGGGATGGATATTAAAATTTGGCGTTTCTCTGCCATCCCTTTAAATTTATTTGCAGTGGTGAAATCTTCCTTTACTTGTTCTCTATTATCCTATATGATTCAATTTATTTCATGGATCCCCGAACACATTTAAGTTTGCCATCTTCTCATCTTCGCTCTTTCTACCTCTCTGACACTGCCCTGTCTCATATACCACACATTTTAACAGGCAAAAGAAGCATGGAGTTTTCTGTAGATCTACAGAATGAAGGCACACATAAATAAGCACTTATGAACAAAACAAAAGTAAAGTAAACCCAAGCGGTCACATGTTAACAAATACACTGGCCTGCAGCTAAAAACATCTTCTGGCATTAGAGGAAATACATATTATAATTTAAGGTTTGCATGTAAAAAAGGTTGGACCCACCCGCCAAAACAATTAAAAGAAGACAACATTGTTTCAGGGAACAAATAGGTTTGTGAATTATTAGAATATAGTACTATCTCAACCATGACAGGCCCACTATAGAAAAGGTCTTGCCAAAACCCCATCAGAAAGAAAAGGCAAATTGAAATTGTTTACTTCACAGAATCCCAGTAAGAAGAGCCAGAAAAAAAGTGTACATAAAAACAAAACTATGATAACTAAAACGTAAAATAATAATTAATATATATATTTTTTTATTATTATTATTTTTTTGCTTTTTACTTATAGATTTCCTTTAATGTGGTTTTATCCTTTGCACCTGCCAATGATATCCAAGCAATCTAGGAAATATAGGTTCTACACAGCAAACAACATCACAAAGAGAAAACTCATTACAGCACAGGAAAAATCTAGACTTACTATTCTTCACAGTGCTTGGAAGCCCAAAAATCCTAAAATACACAACCCCCCTACCCAAACAAATTAAAAAAACTCACAATAATAGTAACACATCAGAACTCCGCCTAAAGGCACACTGGGTTCTGAGCTTGAGTGAATTTTGCCTTTGGGACTCTTTATTCCTCTGTAGAGGTGGTACAGAGGAGACACATGTGCTGCAAACTACTGTATGACTCAACTTAACCCCTTAAGGACACATGACATGTGTGACATGTCAAGATTCCCTTTTATTCCAGAAGTTTGGTCCTTAAGGGGTTGAAGGGCCACAGTTTAATCAAAAGATCATTTAAAAGTGGTCACAAGATGGTACCAAAGTGTCAGTAAAATGCAATGAACCTGACAGTAAAGTTGGAGTGGACTAGTGGCAGGCCAGGTCAACAGATGGGCTTTTCTGGAGCTGCATACTTTTCAATATTACAGGCCAGCTAATAAGGAGGCGAAAGTGTCCAAGAGTCCACACAGAAAGAAAACATCAACACTGATTGCACAATACCATAATACAGACTGGTACTGGAAGGGAAGTTTGTCTCACCCCTGAACAATCTCCAAAGTAAAACAAGCAAAAAGGGTGAGAGGGTCAAAACATTTCTTCTTTATTCCTGCCTCCACAGGTAAGATTTGGTATTACTCAGCAGTCTAGTACCAGCTATACTGTGACAGAAAATAAAAGTGAGCATTTTAAATAAAATCCCTTTTCACTTGACAATGACCACAAAACTACACTGGAATACAGTAGATCATACAATAAATATGGTCATAAAAACCACTGCCTTTTACTGGTTTGTGAACAAATTCCTTCAAAATTTTACCTTCAGACTGGAAGTCCTTCAGTGAAACGGTGAGCGGTTTATCTTTTCCCTGGTTATTCCGTCTTTTATCTTTTTTAATAACTCTTTTTGATTGAGGTGATCCATTTCCTCCACTGTCGGGATCCTTTGAAAGAATAAAATGATCATTTAAAATATTGTTTCAAGATCAGGATATACGCCTAAAGACTTTGGCGAATCTAAATACATGACTTTCTACACAAAGTGAGTCAAAAATCAAGAACTATCAAAATACCTGCAAGATGCTGTAAGACACTTATGGTTAATGCATTCAAGATGGTAGCTCAGAGTTAGAGTATTACAAGTAACAGGTATATTAGTAGCTCTACTACATTATGGTAATGATTAGATCAATAGCATACTACTGGAATTCATGGTGCTTCCTGTCTTAACTCACTCTGTACATGCTGTTAATCAGCTAAGCAATGGTCTTGGAGATTTGTTTCGTTCTTATTTGCAATTTGTCTGACTTTGGACAATTCCTTAAAGGACCACTATAGTGCCAGGAAAACATACTCGTTTTCCTGGCACTATAGTGCCCTGAGGGTGCCCCCACCCTCAGGGACCCCCTCCCGCCCGGCTCTGGGGAGGGAAAGGGGTAAAAACTTACCTTTTTCCAGCGCTGGGCGGAGAGCTCTCCTCCTCCTCTCCGCCTCCGGCCCCGCCGGCTGAATGCGCACGCGCGGCAAGAGCTGCGCGCGCATTCAGCCGGTCTCATAGGAAAGCATTTACAATGCTTTCCTATGGACGCTGGCGTGCTCTCACTGTGAAAATCACAGTGAGAAGCACGCAAGCGCTTCTAGTGGCTGTCAATGAGACAGCCACTAGAGGATTAGGGGGAAGGCTTAACCCATTCATAAACATAGCAGTTTCTCTGAAACTGCTATAATTATGAAAAAATGGGTTAACCCTAGAAGGACCTGGCACCCAGACCACTTCATTAAGCTGAAGTGGTCTGGGTGCCTAGAGTGGTCCTTTAACTCTAAACCAAAATGTGGTCAAATAACGAACAACGCAATGGTCAAGTATTCATGATTCAGAATTACCTGTGGCACCCAAAAAATAAATGATTGATGGGATGTTTGATGGTTAGGGGAAAGCCACTAAATGTTCATTAGATTTACAGATCATCAAGTGATGAGTGACCAATAGAAGGGGGAAAAAGGAGCAGCAAAAAAAAAAAAGAAATAAGACTTTATTTAATAAATATATAACATATAGATTACTTTTACTGCTACTTGATAACCCCTACACTAACAGATAAGTGGGGATATGACCCTGACTTTTTATATGATGCCTCGTCTTCTCTACTCTTGAACTGCATGATGCTGATGCCCTCCGGAATCGCAATGAAAGCGTGGAAACAAGCACATAGTGAACAGTCAGATATTCAATGCAATCTTGCTAGACTAGAGAAGTGTGTATTAGATTTCTGTTCCACAGCGAGCCCTGACATTCATCTGGGGGGCACCAAGCTTTCTCCCAAATAGCCTAATAAAGCCTAATGAAGCCTACACTACTGAATAATAATTTTTTTATTTTTTTTATTAAAAAGGTGTCTCCTTTGAGAAGCAACAGCCTGATATAAAATTAAACATATCCTCCTGTTCCCTCCACCAATTGTAGAGATCCATGGCTAAAGAACCCCACATCTAGCCTCCCCCTAGCAATACCCATGTATCACATATAGCTCCAGAAACCAAATGGCACTATGAGGCATTGTTAAAAAAAAAAAAAACATTGAAAAGTTTATTTCCTTTGGATCCCACAGCCCCAATACATTCACATTTAAAAAACCCCTTCAGGTATCCATGAATCCTTAACGGAAGGTGTAATCTTTACAGTGTAGAGTCCTTATGATCTCTACAGCTAACTTCTAGCAAAATTATTTATTTTACCACAAGACCTGCATGTCTCCCCATAAAAGATACTATTTGCTATTTTACGAGCTGCTGGGAGTTTGATCACAAGTCAATCCTGGTGTGTTACTGCATGGATACTGGACTGCATTTTTGACATTGTCACTCTGTTGTCTCTCCTATAAAACATCCATACTTAGGTTAAGCCACTCTTTCCTTAGGAGACATCTCCCTGTCCAGCAAAGCAACATTCACAAATTTGTGCTCAGGTATGTATCAAAAGTTATCAAATAGCTCTCCCTCTTCTAAATTACAGCACCCAAACAAACACACTTTCATAAAGAATTGTCTGCAGCTCTAAAATAAACTTCTAATGCCTCTAAAATGGCTGCAACATTTTCCTGCTGCTCCACTAGGAGTTAACATGAGTTTATAAAATCGTTGATATTCCCGGACACTTAATCTCCTCAGCCAAGTTTGTAACTTGGAAGTCATCTTTAAATTCTGCTCGGGAACTTTTCTAATTGGTACTCTTATCCTTCATTTCCAAGAGCACAAAATTGGAGTATTTTTCAGATGCTCTGAGATCCACTGAAGATTTTCCTACACATGTGCAATAAGGTGCATGCAATGTATATTTTTTATTGGCCATCACATAAGGTACCTTTATCCATCAGGCAGAAGTCGATTTAAGCAATTATATATTGCCAAAATCATATGTTTCAGAATATATTTAATTTGCATTTTAAATTAAATTAAAATCAACTACAGGATTTTTATAACAAGTGACAGTGACATTTAAAATATTAATAAAACAAACAAAAAAAAAATGAACCCGATTAAAGCATTTGGATATTAATCCAGGTATATATTTTTTTCCATTTAAACATAAATGTAAAAATATGTTCATCGTGAGCTAAATTAAAAGGGTCCAGGATTTCAAAGCAAAAACAAAAAAAAAACAAAACATAAAATCCCACAAATTCTGTGAATATGTCACCTTTTTGAGCTCCTCATATTCCAGTTTACTCATCATTAAGGCCTTCTCCAGATCAGCTTCAAACATATCAGATGTAAGCTAGAATGTATAATAAAAAAATATTTTTATTGCATTCTTGTTATGACCGCCACCCCCTCTTTGCCTTTTTTCTTCCTTTCATTCCTTTCTTTTTTCATTTTCCAAGGTTCTCTCATTTTCATTTGCCTTTCTCAATTCGTTTTTGTGTTTGTTTCTTTAATGTAATAGCCATGAGCTATTTTCTTCTGCTTCCCTTAAGAATATTTTTCATCATGCCAATGTGATAATTCTGTTATCCTGTTGTACCTTTTTCTATACAAGTAAAAATTATCTTCAAAGTTTTGGATAAAAGCACATGAACAATTCAGATGTGCAAGAAGAGAAAACAATCCCTACATCTATTTATGAGAATATGAAAGATACGCATGTTTAAAGAAAGGCAAATAATAAGGATGTTGGAACTTGCAACTATGCTTTTCGTAGTTAGAACAGCTCAGCTTCATCACCTCTCAGCTGTTTCAAGTGGTTTATTCTAGACCTCAGTTCCCGACATGGCAACTACTGCTATATTGCTAACTTTACCACTCTTTTAATTCATAAAAATTGTGCATTACATAGAGTAGATGTCTGCTGTGAGAGTACACACTGTTACATATTGTATTTTACTTACTGCTTTTCTGATGGACCCTACTAGAACATTTCAGTTCCTAACCAGACTATTATTTGCCAATGTTCCAGATGCATCTGTGGGCAACCTATAGTTATGGTGTATCTCAATACTGCTGCCATTTCCTCAGATGATGGCACCTCTTTATATACTGATCTAGAACACAGCTGATGCTTGGACCTCAAATATTTCATTTTCTTTCCCTCTTTATGGCCTGGAGCCTGAGGATCCTTCGCTAGACTAAAACAAATTCTGTGTAGCAGGGTAGATTTGAGCTACTTATCCTCTCTGCCTTAAGTAAATCCAGAGAGATTGTATGGGTTTTTGATACAAACTTTACATTCAAGATATTATTTTGATCCAGCCTTTATGGTTTATTTTTGGATATGCTTGTACAATAGTTGTCCCTTAAAATATCTTCCACCTATGTACTTATATTAAATATATATTTAGACATGCATAACACACCACTTTTACTTTATTGGTTCTTTTGTATGGGGTCCTCAAGCATAGATTTTCCACCTGTAAGAAACACGCTGAGGGCAAGCTTACTCTCGACACTCATGCAACATTTTTCCATTTTTGTTTCTTTTGACAAACTACACAGATCCATCCTTTAAAAACAAACACCTTTTTATATATATATATATATATATATATATATATATATATATATATATATATATATATATATATATATATATACACACATACATACATACACACACACACATATATATATATAAAAAGGTGTTTTCCCCATAGTTTTTGATTTATAACGTGATGTACTATTTATAAAATTACATCTATCTGAAGTGTTTCTTGCAAGTTCCTGGGGAAATTGAATCAACCAGCATTCACTATATCCAGATCTTTCTCTATTTTTGCTTTTTAATTTTACTCTAAATGGATTTAGGCTTTCATGCATAATGATATTTTTATTATCAAAAAAAAATATGAACATAGGAAGGCACTCAGGGGTCAAATGTTCTGGTATCAAAGCGTAACCTCCAAATAAATTCAAATATATAAAAACAAAAAACTATTAAAGATACTGCACTCAAAATAACAAACAAATTTAAAAAATATAAAAGGAAAAATATGTATTCACATAAACAGAAAAAACAAAGGATATCAATATAGCAAAGTACAATTTTTCACAGTGATACAATAACTGTAATTTTAATTACCATAAATTCATTTTTCCTTCCTTAATATGGTGGCATTACACTATACTCTTTCCTTGGACAAGCATCTGAAATAAATTAACATTAAAAAGTTCCTCCCCCAATAGGTATAAAACACCGATCTGCTATGATCCCTCAGTTTGTAACAATAAAACACTAGAGACCCAATACTGCAAAATTAATTTATTATAAAAAAAAAAAAAAGGGGGGGGGGGGGAAAGGAGTTGTACTGCCACCATATTAAGGAAAAAGGAAATTACAGTTTTTCTAACATATGGTGGCAGTGCACTAGGGATGTTATGAGATCCCAGAACAATTTGGGCAGGAATTAGGCAACCACCGTTTGTAGCACCTTACGCCTGAAAGCTGCTTCAGAGGCAGAGAATATGTCTAATTTGTAATGCTTTACAAATGTGTATCAAGACCATGTAGTGGGTCTGCATATATCCTCTGGAGATGCTTGAGCCTTTTCTGCCCAAGAGGTAGCCATAGCTCTAGTTGAATGTGCTTTCAAACATGTAGGCAAAGGTAAAGTAGAGGCAGCGCAAGCCAATTTTATGGTATCCATGAGCCATCTAGCCAGACTAGCCTTGGAAGATGTAAGACGTTTAAATTTCCCCCAAAAAATGAACAAAAAGATGATCAGTTTTTCTGACGTCAGAGGAACGGTCAATATAAATTCGAAGGGCTCTTCTGACGTCTAGCGTATGCTAACTTCTCTCCAGCTCAATGGCCGACGGGTTACCAAAAGAAGGAAGGACAATAGAATGATTAATAGTATAATAAGTGATGACTTTAGGCAGAAATTATGGTTTTGATTGTAGGGTAACCTTGTCTGGAAAAAAATATTGTGAATTCTTGAGAAGATGAAAGAGCCTGAATTTCTCCAACTCTCTTTGCAGATGTTATGGCTACTAAAAAAGCTGTCTTAAGAGACAAGAGCTTCAAGGAAATTTCTTCCAAACGTTTGAATGGTTTTTCACAAAGGGCCTTAAGGACTATGGACAAGTCCCATGAGGGAAATAACTTTTTCCTAGGAGGTCTGATGAGTTTTACTGCTTTGAAGAATTTTCTAATTACAATGTTAGAAGCCAAATTCTTGACCAGAAAGTGGCCAATAGCGGAAAGGTGAACTTTGAGTGTGGATAACCCAAGCCTTGCATTAAAACCATCCTGCAGAAAACTCAAAATGGTGTCTGTAGATGGAGAACTACTTAGTCAATGATGATCCTTGCACAAGTGAAAAATTCTAGTCCAGATGTTTAAGTAAATACCAGTGGTAGACTTTCAGGTAGAATTAAGCAAAAACTTAAATCTTTCATCTTTAATGCTGTTGTGATATAAAATCAGCCGTGCAGCAGTCAGTCAATCTGAACATCTTCAAGACTTATATGGGAATTCCCTTGTTCTCCAGGAGCATTGATGATAACTTTAGTTCCCACGAACTTAAAGCCATTGTTCTCAAGGCAGAGAACCAGCTTCGGTTTGGCCACTACCGGATTATTGCCAGAGAACCATTGCTTTTTCCACTCTTATTTTCTGTAAAATCCTCGGAATGAGGCTTATAGGGGCAAAGACATAAACAATACTGAAGTTCCAATTGTTTTCTTCTTGCCATGAGGTCTATGACTAGCATACCGAATTTCTTCACAATCTGAGAAAACATAACTGGATTCAGGGACCATTCGTTCTGAGACCATCTTGATCTGGTTATGTCGTCTGCAATGTTGTTTATTCCCCTTATGTGAATAGCAGACAGATCTTCCAGATGATGCTGAGCCCAATACATAATTCTTGTGCAAAGAAGGTTCAGTTTTCTCACCCTTGTACCTCCTTGTTTTTTGAACTGTAGAAGAGCATAAAAGACTGTCAATTCTATGAAATTGTATTATTCCTCCTTTTCTTCTATTGACTATACACCTTGTATCATGTGATACTGAAGGGGAGCTCCCCAACCTAGATGCGATGCGTCAGTAGTGATGATAAAATCTTTTGGTTGAAACGATAGGTCTGTTGAAATAAATCTTCCTTTTGTCCACCAAGACAGTCAAGACAGTTGTTTTCTTACAGGATCTGAAATCTCCATTATAAAATCCAATCTTTTTTGGACCATTTTGTCAGGAATTCTCACTGATTGATTCAGATCTGGCCCATTTTACTGTTGGAATAGCAGAACTGAGATGTCCTAGTACTCTCGTGGCTATTCTTATAGTGTATCTTGGTTCTCTTTGAAGATCTGTGATCCCTTTCTTCAGAGAAGTTAGGTGAATTGACAGGTGTTCTGACTTGATAAAAAAACAAAAAACTTGAATTGAATGGTCCTTGTTGGTTGTAGTTGTGACTTTTCTAGGTTTATGACCCAACCATGCTTCTTTAATATTCTGATAGTGATATTCACATCTTCTACCAGAACATTTCTTGGTTTTGCCTTGATAAACCAGTCGTCTAAGTAGGGAATGATGGTGATACCTTCTTAAGACCACGGTGATAGGTGCTAAGACTTTCGTAAAGATCCTTGGGGCTGAGGAGAGTCCGAATGGTAGGGCTTTGAACTGAATCTTGGAACCCCTCTTTATGGCAAACCTTAGGCATTTTCTTGATACTTCCTTTATAGGAATGTGCAGATATGAGTCTTTTAAATCCAGTGTTGCCATAACATCTCCTCTCTGCAGGGTATGTGTCACAGATGCAATGGTTTCCATTCTGAAGGGTTGATATGGAATTGTGCTGTTTATATCCTTCAGATCTAGAACGGAAGGACAGATCTGGCTTTGGAACCGGGATCAAACAAGAGTAAACTCCTTGAAATTGTTGGACTTTTGGGACTATTACTCCCTTTTTTAATAGGGTAACAGTGGTCGAAAAAAAGAGCTTGTTTGTTTCTTTAACTTTGATTGGTAAGAGGATACTAGGAAATTTGGTCTTTGTGTATCCGAGAATCTGATTCTGTAACCATTTGCTACCAGCTTTAAAATCTACGGATTTGAAGTGTTTTCTCTCTATTGGTGTACAAAATTTCTTATGCTTCCTCCCACTTTTATGATGTCAGAATCTTTTAGCTCTATCTGTTCTGCTGTCCTCAATTTTAGATCGTTGCTTTGTCTATGAAAAAAAAAACAAACAAAAAAAAAACACGGGATCTTTCTTGATATCCTCTACGGTTTTTATACTAGAAGTACTTATATATCCAGGCTTCCAGGAATACTTCCAAGAGAAGTTCACAGAGGGCTGCCTTAGAGGCTATATCGGTCATCCAGGCTTTAAGCCATGGGGCTCTACGGGAAACTGAGGTTAATCCCATTATACAAGCCGAAAATTTAACAACTGTGATCATATCCAGAAGGTAATCATTAAAAAAAATAAATAATTAAGGTTTTTCAACAGGTGTACAAGATCCTAGTCTTGTTTTTCTACTAGGCAATATTCTAATGCCTGAATCCAGTAGGTCTGAGCTTTAGCTGCAGAAGCTCCTGCCATAGCAGCTTTACTTTGAAAACCAGCAGCTAGGTAAGCTCGCCTGCAAGAAGTCTCAGCCCTTTTATCCATTGGGTGCTTCAAGCCCAAAATTTCCCCAATCGGAATCGTTTTTTTTTTTTTTTTTTTTAGACAATTGAGCTACTTGGACATTGACAACTGTCAACTCTTCCCATCGGTGTTCTCCTTGTATCTTGAAAATTTGTTTAAAGGTGTCTAGATATAAACGCCCCCTTTTCTGGAATTTTTAATTCTCTTTTCATGAATTCCAGTATTTGCTGCTGTACTGGCAGAGCCCTTTTATTACCTTCTTCTGATATATCTTAAGGTAAAGCAATATGCACTTCTTTGACAAATCTTTTTAATTCCTCAATCTAGGAAGAATCACTAGATGTGTCTGAATAAGCAGATGCTGAACATTCACCAGAAGACAGCTCAGATCTAGACAAGGATCTTTTCAGTTTGTCTTTCTATAGTTAGTACTTGAACGGGAGCTGGGAGATTTGATTTTGAAGATTCAAAAGTTTGAGCAAGGTTGTCTTGAAACCAAGATAAAAAATGATTTCATGTCCTGTTGCTTAGATCTTTCATTTGTTAATTACGAACATTGATTGCAGATTCTGTTGTTTGTACCATCTGGTAGAAGTGTGGAAAATGCGCTACATACCGGGTGTTTTGTTTTATACATGGCTTTTTTAGGCACTTAAGTAGTCACTTTGTCTTTATCCATCTTTCAGGAGAGACAGGATTATACATATCTGCAAAAAACATAAAAAAAATTATCTTAAAGGGGAACTCCAGGTACCCAGACCACTTCAGCTAATTGAAGTGGTCTTTGTTATGTGCCACTATTGCACTTAGTGCTGCTTACATGTTTACATTGCAGCTCAAAGTCTGCCCTCTGTGGCGGTCTATCAGATAGCCACTTGATGGCTTCCGGAATTCAAACCGACCTTTGGTCGGTTATCTGAAGCTGGATGTCCTCCCTGATCTACAGTGTCAGATTTTCCCCAAAGGAAAGCATTGAATAATGTTTAACTATTTGGAGGTCTAATGCACGTGCGCGGCCATTGCCGCACATGAGATCTCCCCCGTCGGCTGACTTCGATGGTGGAGAAGCGTGGGCGGAGCCTGACCCAGCACCGAGGGTCATCAGCCGTGAATTCAGGCAAGTAGCTGAAGAGGTTTTAACCCCTTCAGCGACATGGGATGGGGGCACTGCAGGATCCTGCAGTGCCAGGAAAACAGGTTTGTTTTCCTGGCACTGAAGAGTCCCTTTAAAATTTGCTGATAAAAAAAAAAAAAAAAATTTAACAGAGATGTTGAGATTGAGACAAAATAAAGCTCACCTCTAAAACCTCTGACCCGGCGGCGGGGCTGGTGACCCGGGAGATCCGTTAGGAGTAGCATTCATGCTCTCAGTAGGACCTGCACAGGTTAAATAAGCAAATGTTAAAAACATTTTGCGGAAAGTTTTGGAAGTTCCGATCGTGCATGTGCAGTAGCGCAATCAGAACTTCAGTGGAACGTAAAACCTGGGCATGCGTTCCTCCGCTGTGCACATACGTTCTAATTGAGACAGTGATTTGCTGCCCCTAAGGATCTTCCACTTGCTTTGCCAGTGGCTGCACTAAGCATAAAACAAGCGGCTCCTACCGGCTTCTTAATCCTGCAGGTTGGAGCGTGGCCACTCAGCTCTCCACCCTGGAGGCTATCAGGCCCGGTCACCCTGGCATCACCTGAGTGCCTCACCAATCATCCTGTAGGAACAAGAAAAAGAACGGAAAATGCAAAACAATAATAAAAATGGAGGGAAAAAAAAGTTTTTAAAAAAAGTCACGTTGTCTTTTTTTATACACTGGGACAGATCCAGAACAACCCCAGGTGCTCCCCCCACCACTTATTATGAACATATTGTATCACTGTGAAGAAAATTGAAATCATTAGTTTTTTCCCTGTTTTTATGAAGTTTCTGAATACTTCTTTTCCTTTGACTTTTTTTGTGATTGTAAAGGCAGGATAAAACAATATTTTCTACTACTAGCTTGATTATTACCAGCCCAGTTAAATCTAGAAATGACAAAGAACTTTACAATCAATGTAAATTTTAAAAGAAATCATATAAGAAATGGAAAAAACTCGTTATAAATGCTGTTGAAGTATATCAGTCTGGAAAAATTACAACATAATTGCCAACACTCTGTGACTTCAACAAACCACAGTGAGCTATAATCTACAAATGCAGATAACATTAATTAGTGGAGTTTTTTCCCCCAATAGTGGCTGGCATAACCGTTTCTACAAGGGCGCACTGTTGAATAATCCAAGAAGCCACAAAAATCACTAAAGGCAACATCTAAGGAACTATAGGTCTCTCTTGCCTCAGTTATAGTGATCGTTCATGATTTGACAATAAGAAAAAGACTGGGCAAAAGTAGAATTTACAGAAGAATTGCAAGGTGTGCAAACCAATGCTAACTATGGGAAACATCAGGACACTGGTCACATTTTTAAGAAAGCACACTGATGAGGGTTCAAGCCCTAAAGGAAAACTCCAATGGGAAAAAGAAAAAAAATTGCAGCCTTTAGCTTATAGCATATTTGCTGAACTGGGAATTGAGTGAGAATTTGTAAAGCAAATTAAAACTTTGAGAGGATTAAAGTGAGGAATCAAAGTGAATTTCAAATGTAACACCAGAGTAACTGAATTGAAAGCATAGCTGACTTAATTTACCGAACCAGCTATTTTTACCTTAAACGAATGCATTTAATTATGCATGTTTTCATTGGGTGTATTTATAAAAAAAAATCTTGTAAAAGTTGCAGTTCTCTTGTCTGCTGAATGTGCAAGCCCTTCCCTCTTACACACTCTTTACACATAAAGCAATTCAGAACGATAAAGTGCTTTAAGTGTGTGGAGTGTCCCACCACTTAACACGCATAAAGCATTTCAGTTTTTTGAAGTGCTTTATGGGTGAGGAGTTTTACCTTAATAAACAAACCCCCTGGCTCTACTTGAGCGTGTCTACCTCCCCACCCCCAGCATGCCTTAGATCCGACTTCAGACCAGTGTCTAGCAACCTCAGATAAGTATGCATTCACAGAGGACGAAGATAGTCTATTTCCCGGTGAAGAGACTGAAAGTCACTTCAGAAAAAAAAAATAATAATATAGAGGAGGGCTTGCAAAGTGTAGTTCATAAGAACTGCAGCTTTTGCAAACTGTTTTACGATATACCCTCAATGAATAAATGCATGAAAATGTATGCATGTATTCATTGGATATGTATCTACTGAACCTGATTTCTAAATGTTTGCTTATTTGGGAAGAGGACTATTTGTTTAATTTTAAGTATAAAATCAGATTTTTGTGTTTACGTTGATTCTCTGTCATATAATCCATTTTGTAAGAAGATCTCAAACCATTCAGTGGGGCAAATATCAAAACAGGAAATAAAGAAGGGGGCAAAAATGGTTTCTTGGCACTGTAAACTCGAGATTACAGAAAGTGACTTAATGGGACACTATAGGCAAATACTATAGGCACAGTATCAGCTTCATCTCACTGCTTGGCCTAATGAGGAAGCATTAGCCAGAGCAGCAATGGGTGGCTTTGATTGGCTGAGTGTCATCTGACAATTTTCAACAAATGACAGTACCAACTGCTGGTATGAATTGGTATGGCTAGAAGAAAAAGGGTAAACCCTGCCTTAGCCATACCTGCAGTGGAGGTCTTGCTGTAGGTGACCAGGGAACCTTATTTAGTACAACACTGCTTTGAAAATGCTTTAAAACAAAATGGAGGGAGATTTCTGAAGTGGTCATGGTACCAGGAGTAACCGGTTAACATTTCCTTGAGCAATAATAATGTATTACTGTGATAAATGTTCTTGTATAAGGATGAGTTATTGCTTAAAGTGTCAGTCTAGGCAGCACAGCCATGTGCAACAATTATGGTGCCTTTAGGCTGTGTGCAAAGCTCCCCAGTTCTTGGTCTCGGAGGCAATTGTGGCATGGTTCCCTGCTCATATAATGCCAATATGGAAATTCCTCTTCCTCAGTAAAAATATCAGATTCAGCTGTCTATATATTTATTTTACCATATGTTTATTGGGTTTTACATCATAAAGGGACTCTCCAGTGCCAGGAAAACAAACCCATTTTCCTGGCACTAGAGAATCCTACAGTTCTTCCCTCCCCTCCCTCCTGCCCCCCATCCCATGTTGCTGAAGGGGTTAAAACCCCCATCAGCCACTTACCTGAATCCAGCGCCGATGTCCCTCGGCGCTGGGTCAGGCTCCGCTCGCGCTCCTCCCCCGCTGATGTCCGCCAGCAGGGCAGACCTTATGCGCATGTGCAGCAATGGCACATTGTGTGCATGCGCGCACATTTCTATGGGGATTCCGGCGATCCTGAAGGTCCTCATGCAAAGCATGAGGATGTCCAGCATCGTTTAAGTGACCAAAAAGTCGTTTAAGAACAGCCACTAGAGGAGGACTTAACCCTGCAAGGTAAATATTGCAGTTCTAAAAACTGCAATAATTACACTTGCAGGGTTGAGGGTGATGGGAGTTGGCACCCTGACCACTCCAATGGGCAGCAGTTGTCTGGGTGCCTGGAGTGTCCCTTAACGTACAACAAGTGCAGTTATAGGTAAAAAAAAAAATCATTACAGAAGTTACACATTAACACTCATATATAAACAGAGTAATAAACTGCTCAAGATACATATTCACTAGAACACTCAAATAGTCTCTTGTATACATAATTGATTCCGCATAAGCTTTCAAACTTTTCATTCCATATGTTCCTATGTGATCAATAAAAGAGGAAAGGGGAAAATTGTAAAAAAACGGTGTCAACTGGGTGAAGGGTGGAATGATGGCTGGAGGTCAGCGGCGTACATACCGCGGTCCCAACTGCGATTGGGCCTGCCACATACCGCGGTCGCAACTGCGATCGGGCCCGCCAGGTCCACCATCCAAGGGGTCCATCGGGTGGCCCATGGGGTCAGGGCCACCCGATGGATGTACATTGTCAGGGGGCCCGATCAGCGCTGGGAGCTTTAACAGCGCGACCGGGCCCCCTGTGATTACATCACACGCTGGGAGGAAGTGACTGCATGTCACTCCTCCCAGCTAACACAGAGCCGCGCGGGAGGAAGACCAGGGAGTCAGAGTGGGAACTCTGACTCCCATCCACCTGAGCCACCACTGGACCCCAGGGAAAGTCACCCTCCTGCACCTTAAAAATAGGAAACAGGAGGGTGACTTAAACATATTGTGTGTGTGTGTTTGTATGTATGTCTGTCTGTTTGTGTGTGTGTCTGCCTGTTTGGATGTATGCCTTTGTATGTATGTGTGTGTGTGCCTGTGTGTCTGCCTGTATGTAAGTGCGTCTTGTGTGTGTCTGTCTGTCTGTGTGTCTGTTTGTATGTGTGTGTGTGCCTGTCTGTGTGTATGTGTCTCTATGTATGTGTGTCTCTATGTACGCGTGTCTCTATGTACGCGTGTCTCTATGTACGCGTGTCTCTATGTACGCGTGTCTCTATGTACGCGTGTCTCTATGTACGCGTGTCTCTATGTACGTGTGTGTCTGTCGGGGGGGGGGGGATAGAGAGAGGGGGGGCCCACGGATAATTTTTGCACCGGGGCCCCATGGTTTGTTTGTACGCCACTGATGGAGGTCCTCCATTTCGAACAGTGAACAGACAAGTTGGCGAGCTACAAAAAAAGGTTAGTGAATCTTGTGTAGGGAGTAGAGCAAGTGGAAATGATACTCCACTCCTTCTCAGCATAAGTTCTGTGTAGGGTTTTCTCCTACTGAGCATGATATTGTTATTTTATTTTCATTTTTTATGAATTTTTTGTTAATGATTTGATTAGCTAGTGTTACTTCTTTCACTGATAGTCTTTAAGTCGTAAATTTATGTTCACTGTTTATGACTTTCACCTATCTGATCCTTCATATCCCAAATGTTATCTCCTCTGTTTTTTTTCCATCTCTCATTACCTAAATATTTCCATGTCTCCCCAACCCTAATGGTGTTTGTTTTGGTTTTGTTTTCTAACCCCAGCCCTTATATTTCAGACTGAGCCCCTAATTACAGCATTGATTAGCAACATCTAGCACTGAGCAAGTAACCAAGCCCTGCAGAAAAGCCTAAGCAGAAGTATCATCTCTGGAAGGCTACCCACCCCATGGTCATTAAAGGGACTCTCCAGTGCCAGGAAAACAATCCGTTTTCTTGGCACTGCAGGTCCACTCTCCCTCCCAACTCCCATCCCTGGTTGCTGAATGGTCTCAAAACCCCTTCAAGTGACTTACCAGAGGCAGCGACGATGTCCCTCGTCGCTGCTTCTTCCTCCGCGTCACCACGTCAGCCGGCGGGGGAGACCTAATATGCATTAGACCTGTCCAGAGGAAAGCATTGAAAATGCTTTTCACCGCTTTCCTATGGGGATTTTAGCGATGCTGGAGGTCCTCACACAGCGTGAGGATGTCCAGCAACGCTGTAGCACACAAAATCTGTGCTATAATCCCGGAAGTGCCCTCTAGTGGCTATCTAGTAGACAGCCACTAGAGGAGGAGTTAACCCTGCAAGGTAATTATTGCAGTTTATAAAAACTGCAATAAATACACCTGCAGGGTTAAGGGTAGTGGGAGTTGGCACCCAGACCACTCCAATGGGCAGAAGTGGTCTGGGTGCCTGGAGTGTCCCTTTAACATACTTATAGATAGTGCAGATCAGCTGATTTTCAAAACACACCAATCAACTCACTAAACCTCTCCTCACCTGAAATCCCTCTGTTAACAAAATACATCCTTAACCATGGTTTAAACACTCATAGGTGTGTGTGTGAATGTATATATATATATATATATACACACATACACACACACACACACCAAAACACATTTTCTCTAAATAATGTTCTCCCTTCTATTTTTCACTTTCACACTAACTTCTCTCATTACTAAAATATCTCTATCCTTCTGCTCACCTGTCACTGGTAACACCATCTTCATTACTTCCACTTTACACCCCTTCCTTCTCTATTCATCCCATGCACTCTACATATACCTTTCAAACCCATCTCCACCAACTCCTCCCAAAATCCTCTACATACACACCCTCCTGCAAAACTTTCAAATCCTACTCCCACCTTCACTTCCTTTCTATCCTTCTGCTCCTAGAAGCTGGTGATGTCTCTCCAAACCCCGGTCCCATCTCAGCAAACCCACCACGTACTAACTCAAGGAACCACACCAATCTCATGTTACTCTTCCCTTAAATCCTCCTTCAATACTGCCCTCTGGAATGCACCCTCTGTTTGTAATATTACAAAATCCACTGCTGTCCATGACCTCTTCATCTCTCGTTCCCCGGATTTACTAGTCTCAACAGAAACATGGCTCTCCCCCTCTGACACTGCTACCCCTGCATCTTTATCCTTTGGTGGTCTTCAACTTACCCACAACCCAAGACACTCTGAATGTAAAGTTAGTGAAGTAGGGATTCTCCTCTCATCTCACTGCTCCTTCAAACCTCTACCCACCCCACTTCTCTCTTTCCTATCATTTGAAATTAATTTGATTCGCCTTTTCAAACCCTTCTTTGTTAACATTGCCGTTATTTATCACCCTCTTTCCCCTCTCCTCTTCCTTGACCACTTTGCTGCCTGGCTACCCTACTTCCGCTCTTCTAATATTCCATCCCTAATTCTCGAGACTTCAATATTACCATTAACCCACCTTTGACCTCAGCAGCCTCTAAACTACTTTCAATTACTTCCTCCCTGGGGATATCACAATGGGCTAATTCTTCCACCCATGTAGCTGGCAATACCCTCAACCTCATTTTCACTTATGCATGTACAGTATCTAATATCTGCAACACTCACTTCCTCTCAAGTACCCCCTCACCCAACAACCTCAGCCTAACCCCCCTCAACTCAGGAGGAACCTGAATTCTATTTAACTCCAGCAGCTGTCAGGTGATTTTGATTCACAACTGCTACCCATCCCTTCCCTCACTGGCCATCTCGATTTATAACACTACCCTCACCTCTGCCTTGAACGCTGCAGCCCCGCTTCAGACATGCAACTCTAGGAGGACACGCCCCCTACCGTGGCATACTAAATCAACACGCTAACTGCAAAGATGCTCCCGTTGTGCTGAACACTCCTGGAGGAAGTTCAGCACCCAGGCAGACTGTCTTCGTTATAGATTCATATTGTGTTCATACAGCACCCTTGCCCTCGCCAAACAGTCATACTTTTCTGCTCTTATTAGTTAATGCTCCCGCAATCCTAGGCGTCTCTTTGACACCTTTAACGTTCTTCTTCACCCTGTTTTGGCCACCCCCCAAACTAACCTTACAGCCGATAGCTTTGCATGCTACTTTACTGACAAGATTGAACAGCCAAGGAAAGTTTTCTCCCCACCTTGCCGTTCTCTCTCAACCAGACGTAGATTATGCCTTTCCTACCCGTCAGACTTTTTCCACGGCTACTGAACAAGAGGTGACTGCGCTTATTCTTTCCTCTCGCCCCACCACTTGCCCGCTCTATCCTGTCCCATCTCACCTTATCAGATCTCTCTCCCCCTGTCTTGTGCCTTCCTTAACACATCTTCAACTGCTCGCTCTCTCTTCTGGCGTTGTCCCTGCTGACCTTAAACATGCCACTGTAGTACCTATCCTGAAAAAAAAAAAAAAAATCATCTCTTGACTCGTACTATCCCTCTAACTATTGTCCCATATCTTCCTCAAAGCTTCTGGAAAGATTTGTCTTTACCCGTAGGTCTCACTTCCTCAATTCCTACTCTCTCCTTCACCCTCTTCAATCGGGCTTCGGCCCTCTCCCCTCTACTGAGACTGCCCTTATCAAAGTTACTAGCAACTTAATCGCAGTTAAATCCAAAGGCCACTACTCCATACTAATTCTTCTTAACCTCTCTGCTGCTTTTGACAACGTTGATCATGCTCTCCTTCTTCAAACTCTTCAATCACTCGGTCTCTGTGACTCTGTCCTCTCATGGTTTTCCTCTTACCGCTTATTCAGTTTCTCCTTTTCGAATGATATCTCCTCCCCTCATCCTGTCTCGGTTGGAGTCCCCAACGGCTCTGTCCTTGGTCCCCTTCTATTTTCTCTTTAAACTACCTCTCTTGGCAAAGTTATTACCTCATTTGGACTCCACTACCACCTGTACGCTGATGACACCCAGGATATAGCTCTCCACCCCGGACCTCTCCCCTGCCATCCTGCAACGTGTCACTGCTTGCCTTTCTTCCATCTCTGACTGGATGTCCTCCCACTTTCTGAAACTCAAGCTCTCTAAAACTGAGCTCCTTGTCTTTCCTCCTCCTAATACTGATCCTCCTCTTTCGCTCTCCCTTCAAGTTAGTGGTATCCACATAAGTCCATCCTTGCAAGCACGCTGTCTTGGAATCATACTTAATTCTGGTCTCACATCCAGTATGTTGCCAATTCCTGTAGATTCCATCTTAAAAACATAGCCCGCATCCGCCCCTTTCTTATGCAAGATGCTACCAAGGAGATTGTCCATGCTCTAGTAATTTCCTGCATGGATTATTGTAATCCTCTCCTAATTGGTCTGCCCAAAAGCCGTATTGCCCCGCTACAATCTGTAATGAATGCTGCCGCCAGACTGATTTTCCTCTCTAGTCTGTCCTCTCACACAATTCACCCCTCTGTCAGTCCTTACATTGGCTTCTTGTATCCTATAATTCAAGAGTCAAAAGTGCTAACACACATCTACAAAGCCCTGAACAATTCTAGCCCCTCATATCTCTTCACAGATCCATAGGTATGCCTCTTCTTGGTCTCTCCGCTCTGCCTGTAACCTTCTCCTGTCCGCTGCTCGCACCCGTATGGCCAACTCACGCTTGCAGGACTTCTCGCGGGCGGCTCCCTTCCTATGAAATAGCCTGCCTACAGCCATTAGACTCTCCCCTAGTTTTGCATCTTTTAAGAAGTACCTCAAAACCCATCTCTTTAGGAAAGCTTATTGCCTCCCAGAGAAACCTCTACCTTATATACCGGTCTCTTGCTCTCTCCTAAAGGGCAGCACTCTACTCCAGCTGTGCTTCACTCCCACCTTATTTGATTGCTATTTCCTGTCCTAATGTGTTTTATTTCCCACCTCCTTTAGACTGTAAGCTCCTTTGAGCAGGGTCCTCTTCAACCTATCGTTCATGTAAGTGCAATTGTCCTATTTATAGTTCATTCCCCCCTCTTATAATATTGTAAAGCGCTATGGAATCTGTTGGCGCTATATAAATGGCAATAATAATCATATGTCAGAGGGCCAGGGAACCCTACACCTATTAAAGTGCCATAACAAAGTTATATCAGACCTTTAACCTTGGGGAATGGATTGCTGATTCTATAGGAGATATGATAGTAGCCTCCATCAAGGACCCCAGAACAGACGTTTGGAAATAGTGCCTAGATTCAGCCATATTTGAAAGTCATGTCATGGCTGACTGGGTCAGCTGACGCAACAGTATTGTAAAAGTATTTTTTGGTTTTGGTTTTAAATAATAAAGTATGACAGATATTTCCATTCCATGAAACAAACAAAATAAACAATCAATAGAACCCTAAACTAAATGCTTTCCTCCCCTTCCATATGTGCTACTGGGTGTTACCATGATGGTCTCTCTATTGTATATCCAGTAATCTTCTTGGGCATTTTTCACAATTTTAATTATAAAGCCCTGCCCATGTTTTCCCTCCTTATAGATTATGGGTCACCCAGTGGTCTTTGATATCACAGCCTTTGAAAACAGTTCTTCCTTTATAACAAAATATGTCAGCCAACTTCATGAGGCCATTAAATCTATACATTAAGATATCACAACATTTTCAAGTGACTTTGGATTTCACACGCATTGGTTCTCGATTGTCAGGCTGCTTTGTGACTACATTATTTATAATACCATGGCCAGAGCCAGTGTGAAGTCTTGGAATTTATTCTGCTTTGGGTACACAAGTACCTTAGGGAAATACTCATAGCACTATCCATACTTTGTGATCTAAACAACTTCCATTTTCTTCAACAATTAAGTTTTACACAAGCGCCAATGGCAAGGCCTAGTTTTTACTCTCATTTGCTTATTGGTCTCTGGTTTTTGTGGGGTGTTTTCCAGGAGCTATGTCCCTGTGTGCCATATTGTTGTACAGTGCCTATATAGGCAGTCGTGTCTGGGTCATCCACTCTTTCGGAACAGAAAAGATAATACAGTAAAAGTACCATAAAATAAAAAAAAACTATACTTTTCAAAGTGTTTCTTCCGATTTACATGATACCATCATGCTTTGGAATGTTTGGATGTTGATATTTCTTTGTGCATTTTATAATTAAATGGTCCCTAAAAAAGATCCTTAAACAGGAAGAAACAAGTTAGACCTAATACTTTACATCAATGTAAAGTAATGACTTTTGTTATTTTATCTCTTTTGGAAAAGATGCAATAAAAAGCTTTTAATACACTGCCGGATTTTGCTTAAACTTGATAACTCGATTTAGAGCAACTGATAAAAGGTGCACAAGAGTCTGGAGGAGGATTGGGAGTATTTGGCCTCCCAAGAGATCTGAGCAGCTACCCAGGAGTGGATTATATACCTTCAATCTTGCAAGTGTAATAGTGCACAATTTGATGTATTACTGTTAAAGCATTATTACACTATTTTATGCTGGGTTTTGTTTTCATATATTTCACTAAAGCACAGTATTACTTTTCTTATGATTGAATAATTATTAAAACCGATCCATGTTGTCTATTTGCTCACACTCTGATTACAACAAACATACCTGCTCATCTCTTTGCCGCCACTGTTGCCAGTCTTCTTCTTGAGCATCTTTTGGTAAGCTATTTGCCATCTGCTCCTGCTGGACCATACCAGTGATCTGAGATGATCTCTGGGGAATCTTCTTAAAAGCAAGATTCCTCAGCTTGGATGAGAAAAATACATATAGAAGTTTAACATACATATATGCTATCAAAATAACACTTGATAACTGGGATTCTTGAAGCATGATAACCACAGCAACTCGATATAATTGTTATAGTGCAAGGGGTTTTCTCATGCCATTCAACTGCTAAGAGGCAAAATTTTCAAACTGTTTGATGTTTGCCTGGGTCCTCTGAGTGCGAACAGTTCAGATCCTTCACATACATATCCCTGAAACAGTTCCCCTTCTACGTTAGAAGGAAAGGAATAGAAATCATTGGCTGAAGACGTTCGTCTATGCACTCTTGCCATTCTCTGCTCCCTAGGTTTGCCAAAATTGTCAAACAAACAAAATAAGGATTTAAATTGGAGCTCAGTTTTAAAACCCTATCAAAGAATCAGGCGCTACACATCCAGGCTCACAGCATGCATAGTGTGCACACTAGTTATAAAACTGGAAATTTCAATAAGTTGGTCTACGTTTGTGTCTTGCTCCTGTCCTATCCTGGGTAGGGAGATAATACTAATATAGAAACACAGATATTTCATATTTTTTACAATGGATAAATAATGCAAACAGAAGAACAACTCACACAGTATTTTAAATGAATTGAGGTACAGAACAAAAATAAGTCAATAACAGCAAGAGACAAAGAGGGACACCACACTATAGTCACCAAAACAACTTTAGCTTAATGACGTTTTGGTTTATAGATCATGCGCCTGCCTCACTGCTCTCTGCCATTTAGGAGTTAAATCACTTTGGTTATACAGCCTTAGACACACCTCTATGCATGTTGCATGCAAAGAATCATCTCAGGTTTATACTTCCTTTATTGTAAATTCTGTTTAATTAAAAATTTCTTAACTCCTGCTCTGCAATTAAAGTTAAATTTACAGAGCAGGAGATAAAAACTTTTAACAGGACACAATAGTCACCAGAACAACTACAACATATTGTATTTGTTCTGGTGAGTATAATAATTTCCTTCAGGTTTTTTGCAGTAAACACCTTTTGTTTTCATATTAAAGGCAGTGTTTACATTACAGCCTTGAGATACTTCTACAGGCCATCACTGTGCAGCACTGCCATTCAATGTCTCCATCCTCTGCAAGAGTCAAAACATCTCATGAGGAGATGCCAATTTGCCAGGGCTGTTTGACTTATGCTGTCTCTGCCTCTGATCTGCCTCCTTGATCGTCTCAGCCAATCCTCTGGGAAATCGTGATTTGTTCAGAGAATCACTTCTGATTATGTCAGACAAGCAGACCGATCAAGGACAGAGCTTGCAGCAGCAGACATGAATACAAGTAAGATTTTACTATATTTAAGGGGGTGGGTGGAGTGGGGGCTGAGCAGGGGAGCTAGATAATGTTTAGTTAGTTTTAACACTGTAGGGTCAGGAATACAGGTTTGTGTTCCTGACCCTATAGTGTTCCTTTAAAGCAGGGTTTCCAAATTAATTTTTCCAGTGGAACCCTTTGACATGGTATAGCAACACTGTGAAACCCCCCCCAAACAAATGTGTGCCGTAGAGCAGCATAGCGCAGTGCAAACCTTTCAATGAGCAGAGTGTAATGTTCTCTCTTGCTGGCAAATTCTTTTTATATCTGGTTTAATTGTTGACAATTGTATTCAGATGTCTGCAGTTGCAGCAAGTTGATTTAGATACTTTGTTTTTGTTGCAAAGTAAAGTGAGAATCCAGTTTCACATAAGTACGTGCTGGCGAATGGCAACAGAACTTTGATTGCCTGCTTGGACAATTCTGGGTATTCTTTGCGTAAATCACCCCAAAAAGCAATAAAAGAAACGTCTTGAAATTTGTGTGTTAGTTGACCGTCCGTGTTAGTTGATATAGTTGAGAAGTTATATCGATCAGATTCTCAAAATCTACATCAGAAAAATTGGCTGGCTTGTTTTCATGAATGGAAAATAATGATTAATAGATGTGATTAAATTCCGAAGATGATCTACAATTCCATTGCGAATTTCACCTTCAAGTTCAAATTCTGATTCTTCAAGAAAATCCTTAAGTGTTGGAAAAGAGTTCAAATTATTTTGCTCAGCAGATGTGGTCCAAAACTGCCACTTACGAGACAGTGATCTATGTATCTATGTATCTTTATCTCTTGCATTATAAATATTGGTGTTTTCTCCTTGGAGTGATAAACATACGTCATTTAATTTTGTGAAAATGTCTGCAAGATATGCTACTTTGGATAACCACAAAATGTTTGTTAATCGATCAGATAATCCAAATGTATGATCCTGGAAATATGCAAACAACTTTTAACGCAATTCAAACATTCTAACAAGGACTTTACCTTGTGATAGCCAACGAACTTCTGAATGCAAAAGCAGAGCAGAGTGGTGACTACCCATATCATTTTAAATAGTTGTGGCTGTAATGGTCGACTTTTTATAAAATTATTCATCTTGACCGATTTGTCAAGCACAGTTTTAAGAGAGATTGAAATATTTTTAGCTACCAGTGCATGTCTGAAGAACAGTGAGAACTGTTCTGTTTTTTGCTACATTTCTTATTCGTGTCACAGCGCCTGCCACTTTTCCAGCCATTGCTTTGGCACCATCACTGCACACATTTACACATTTGTCCCAATTTATACAGTGTGTGTTCATGAACTTCTGGATACAGTTAAAGATGTTCTCACCAGTGGTATGAGTTTTCAAAGTTTCACATAGAAGCAAGTCTTCTTCAATCCGTTTGTCAAAATTATATCTAACAAAAACCAACAAAATTGAAAGTCCTGCAACATCTGTGGACTCGTCTAATTGCAGTGAGTACCCATCACATTGATGCAGTCGAGAAAAGAGTTCAGTATGGGTGTCATAAGCAAGAACATGAATACGGCACAAAACTGTGTTGTTGGAAAGTGGCACATCTTCAATGTTTTTACTCAACTTCTTTATTAGTGATTCCCCAAATATGTGTGCTTCTTTGGCAAGTGCTATGCGGTAACTCATTCAGTAAGAAGCCTCTGTGGCTTTTTCATTATCATTTTAAAAAATTTTTTGCTCATAAACAGTTTACTCTTCTGATACTCCTTTAGCTTTCGCTTAAAAAAAGTCAATGTTTTTATCTTTGTACTCTGCATGGTTTTGCTCAAAGTGACAACATAATTTAGCAGGTACTAATGAACTGTTTGGCAATATGTTATTGCAAAGTAAGTATTGTGCTTCAGGACAATCTTCATTTCTGGCACTTGTGAATCCAAATGACAAGTAGCTGTCATATTTTCTTTTCTTTGTTTGAGAAGAAGATTGGGTAGAATGGTGTGCTTTTCTGTTTTTCTTTGACTTGTCACTTGTTTCTGCTATTTGAGGAACAGTAGATTCAACTATTTTGGGCACGTTTTCTGGATTTTTAGTTGTATCTTCTTTATCTGTTTCTATAAGTGCCAAAACAGCTAGTATTAGTAATAATTTTTCTCTGAATAGTTCCCTGCTTTAGCCAGCTGTCCGGATTCATGGTTGTTTATTGGTTTAAAAAAACCAAAAAAAACACTTTGAAAAACACAGATCTTGCCTCTGACTACAAAGGAATGCTGATTTTTATAAAGCTCTTAGAAAGAACTTAAGCCCTTAAGGAGAAAACTTCTGGAATAAAAGGGAATCATGACATGTCACACATCATGTGTCCTTATTTAAGCAGGATTTTTAAGTCAGACTTGAAGCAAAAAGATTTGAACACTTTGAAACAGATCTCACTACCTGACTGAAAAAGATACTGATTTTTACAAAGCTCTTAAAAAGAATTTAACATAAATGCCTCAGTCTTGAAGTAAAACGAAACCCTTTAATACAGATCTCACTACCTGACTGCACTGTTTTGCTAACAGCTCAGATTTTTGTACCAAAAGCAATGTTTTTTTTTGTGTCTATAGAACTGATTAATAAACATAGTAAGCAGAATATTTTTTATATATATATACACACACACACACCTGGACTGGCCATCAGGCAAATGCCCGCTGGGCCGCAATGGTCATGGGCCGAGGCGATCATGGGATCGCCCCCTTCGGCCCATGCAATAGCTGGCACTATCAGAGCACCAGTGTTCCATCAAAATCCCCTACCCCGTGAAAATTCCCTACCCTTGTCACTTCCGGTGAGGGAAATCAGCTGGATCCTGTGCTACACATGCGTACTAGCACTCCTGCTACTCCTCCACAGCAAGGTCCTGGAAGGTAAGTAAAGCTAGTTTTACACTTTCATTATAGTTAGTGCATTCACTAAGCTTAGGCACATGGGAAATTTAGGGTTAAATGAGGGTTAAAATTAGGGTTAGGTAAGTTATTTTAACCTCTCTCACACTCTATTCTAACCATACTTCCGGTTCTGGACGCGCCAATTCTGATCGGGATGAAGATTTGATGAACACGGACACCTGAACAGGTACTATAACACCAACTGGATTCAAGGATTGATGGAAACACCCACGGATCCACCAATGGACACAGGGATTAGCCCTATATATAGACTTGTAGGTGGGGGGGTATTAGGCTACCTTTGTTATTTATGCTTTTGCTGTTTCAATATTACTGCTTTTTGGTCCCTGAGGAAGTTCCACTCTTGGAACGAAACGCGTAGGACCTATTTTCCTCAATTTTATATTTCAAGCTGCTGGAACTTTTTTTCAACCTACACGTATTGGAGTCTTGCTTTACATCTACTACATTGGAGTGAAAGTGAAATAGCCCCCAATAACACCAGGGGAGGCACTCTTGAGCGCAATATACGTCTCAATCTTGTAAGTGTATTAATTTGTGGCGCATTATTGTTTTATATTACTGTATTACACTATATATTGTCTATGTTCCCTTCTAGATTTGTACAGCTGCATCCCATATGTTTTTCGAGTTTCTATATATATATTGTAACAAGGTCGGCTTCTGGGTTACGATCTTGGAAAGGCTGTTTTTGTTAAATCTATGATAAGTATATTTTTACTTAATTCACTATACTAATCTACACGGTGGTGACAAGGGTAGAGGATTTTCACGGAAGGGAAATTTGATGTTACACCGGCCATGCTGTGTGCCTTCATGGGCCGGTGCGGGGATCAAAGATCTCCCTCACCGGCCCACAGGCACAGACATGTGGCCATCAGCTGGGGAGGGAGGCATAGAGAGGAGGACCTGGGGAAGCTCTTACCTGCAGCTTCGCCGGGTTCCTCTCACGAGGACGGAGCATTTGCGCGGTTACCATGGCAAAGCTCAGATCTCGCGAGAGTGAACTCTAGCCCCGCAGGTTTTAAAATCATTGTTTCCCTGCAGAAAAAAGTAACAAAGAATGTGTAAAGCAAGGTCAAAACTTTACAAAGTTTAATTCCCATTATACCAACAGCATTCGAGATAGAGAAGTAAGAACACTAATGTTTGAGATCAGATTACAGTTAGGGAGATCACTGCAGGTTTCCACTCATCCTGAGTTAAGAATTGTTGCAGAGGGCTGAATAAACTATCCCATAAACACTTCTAGACAAGGGTTTAAAAAAGCAGAAAACAAAAAGTAGGTATGTACCAGAATTAAAAAGCGCAAAACCTGAAATAGGATTCAGTGCACCTTCTGCTTTAAGTTTTATTAATAGGTTATCTTCATAATATGTTAAAGGTGGCTCAATTGATCTCTCAAGTACCGCATAATATCCATTACCTCGTTAGCCTCACTGTGCTGCTGTTCTTTCTTTTTCCTCCTCTTTTCTCTCTTCTTTTCATTGCTGTTGGATTTCCCACTTGCCCCAGACACAGGACGGGACTTTCCTGTGCCTCGTGTTCCTCTGGTCTTCTCAGAGTCTGAGTCACTGCTACTGTCTACTTGCAGAATGGCAAAGCGAGATGTAGTGGTAGGAACCAGGCTCACCACAGCAGATGCCATCACTGGTTATGTAGCTATTATCTGGAAAACAAATTCAGAGCTCACATTAATCTTTAAAGTAACAGGCAAGTCCATTATTTTCAAGGTACGTATTGTTTAAAACAGATATTTCACAATGGTAACAACAGACTCCAATACAGTCAGCGAGCAATAGCGGTGCTCGCATTAGGAGTTCCCCATTAGGTAAGCATTATTCAATGAGACCAAAAGACGCCTAATGACCCGGAAGTCCTTCTAGTGGCTGTCTACCAGTTAACCCATAAAAGGTAATTAATGCTGTTAATTAAGAACTGAGTAATTACATTTGCAGGGTTAAGGGACCTGGGACTATGCACCCAGAGCACTTCAATGAGCTCAAGTGGTCTGGGTGCCTTTAATGCACGTCCACAACCACATGCAATGCATAGCTTTTGGAACTGCTTTAAATTAGAACCACTTTCAATGTCTGGATTTTGCACTCCAAATGGTCCTATATGCATCCAGATCCTTTTACCCCACTTACATCAGTAAATAACCCATATATGATGGCTTTGTGAGGAAACTGCTTTCTTTTACAGGAATGATTTTCCCCACATCATTATTTGTTGATGTTTTGTCCAATACCTTTTTTTTTTGTACCCACCCTCATTTCATTCATTTTGCTATTTTTTTTCTTCCATTAAGTATATATGTCTCATCTCAAAATAAAAAAAATTTAAAAATCTACTGTATTTTTCCATGTAAAAGACGATATTTTTTTCCAAAATTTTTCAAGTTTAAATTTGAGGGGGGTCGTCCTATACACGGAATGTTAAAATGAACTTAAATAGGTACCCACTGGCCAGGGCAGTCTTTAACGTGAGGCAAACAGGGCAGCTTCCCTCAAGAATTCTTCCCCTCCCCACATCGCCACCAGCCGGGGGCCCACACACTATGTAGGGCCACCCAGCGGGACCGGCCCCTTGCTTTTCGGCAGCTGTCTGGGAGGAAGTGACAGCCGCGAGTCACTTCCTCTCATAGAGAGGAGTTGTGCGGGAGCAGAAGGAGCTGCGCGGGAGGAGGAGAAGGAGGCAGTGGGGAGGGGCACTCCTCACTCCCATCAGCCTCAGGTTCCACACGGGACCCCACATAGGAAACTGGAGGATGGGTTTAAAAGTTAAAATTTTTCCATGTATGTCTGTGTGTGTCAGTATGTCTGTCAGTGTGTGTATCTGTGTGTGTTAGTATTTATGTCAGTATATGTGAATGTGTGTGAGGGTCAGTATGTCTGTTTGTGTGTCAGTATGTATATCGGTGTGTTTGTGTGTGTGTGTGTCAGTGTATGTAATGCATGTGTCAGTATGTCTGCCGGTGCATGTGTCAGTGTATCAGTGTGTGTGTGTGTGTGTGTGTGTGTGTATCTGTATGTAGTCATTGTGTGTATATCTGTATGTAGTCATTGTGTGTATATCTGTGTATCTGCATGTGTGGCAGATAAACATACACTGACAGACGGTATGTCAGTCAGTGTATGTGTGTCAGTATGTCTGTCAGTGTGTGTTTATCTGTGTGTCTGAGCATCTGCATGTGTGTCAGGTTGTGAATCTGTTTGCCTGTATCTGCAAGTGTGTCAGTGTGTATCTGTGTGTATGTGTGGCTGTGCATATGTGCATACATCTCAGCATTGATACACCACTGCATTCAAATTTCAACACTACATACAAACACACTCCTGCATTGAAACATCAACACTACATACAAATACACACATTTTGGTGTTAAATACCAACAATACATAAGCACACCCCTACATTCAAAAAACAACACTACACATAAATGCATGCTTGCATTCAAACGCCACATATAAACACACAAACCTACTCCATATAAAAACATGCTTACGTTCAAACACACCGATACGGCTCAGTGCTAAATACAACCCTGCAAGCATGGGGAAATGGTAGAGCCCCAGCTGTCACAGCTTTGTTGGAGTTGCACAACAGATAAGGATCTACCTTCTGGCCACCCTTACGATTGGGGCCCCCCAAAAATTCTTGCACCAGGGCTATTTCTACTTTAGTCTGTCACTGCGTTGGGGTGGAGGGTTTGATTGCATGCCAGGGAGTGAGGGGTGAGGTGGTGGCGGCAGGGTCCAGGGGGCCCAAGCAAATGCTTGCCCAGGGTCCAATCAATATTAAAGACGGCCCTGCTCCTGGCGGCCAGGTACCCCATTCCTATGCACAGTCTTTTGGCCTCAGGGAGCAGGCGCTCAGGGAGTAAATACGGTACATACCGTGAAAATCAAGAGTAAAGTGCACTGGCATAAGAGATGGAGCTGCAGCTACACTGCAGTTACACTGAGCTGACTAGAGCAGCCGCCATTATACAGCCTGCCACACAGTTATTGTATTGTATGTAAAAAAATTAAAAATACAATGCAACAATTGTCATACATACAATACAATAAAATTCATACATAATGAAACATAACATATCAAAAAGTAAAAATTAATAGAAAGAGGTTTAAAATCTTTATTTCATAATTTTGGGCTCAAAAAAATAGGGGTTGTCTTCTACCCCTTCTGCTTGCTCCTGGCAACTTCTTTTCAAAGACTTGTTTGGCTCTGAAGTCTTGCTCTTGTGCTCACAGGTCATACAACTCTGTAGCGGATTCCAAACATCAATGTCAATGGAAAGGACCACACTTTGACACTGTTGCAAAAGGAGTGGGACAGCGTCTTCATTTTCAAACTGGGGCCAACCTTCACCAGTGCTACATTTAACTTATGGTGTGGTATTCGAAATAGTACATATACATACTAAAACATAAAAGGCACAGTAAAATACATAAGTATACAACTATCACGTAAGGGAGTATTTTAACCAATATTTGGCACTGCATCTGGTCTGTGTATGGTTAAAGAGAAACTCCATGCACCATAACCAATACAGACTGCTGTAGTGTTTACGGTAACAGGAGTGCCCTGGTGCCATCCCAAAGTAAGTAGTCAAATCGTCGTAGTACAATTGGATAATTTAGCTGGGTACCAAAAAAAAAAAAAAAAAAAACCTCATAAAAAGCATTGCTGAAAAACGGAACAAAACCCCTGCATGCAATGAGAAGTTTCTCTTTATAGGCAACAAGGTGAAACATGCACAGATTGGTTGCACCACAACTATTTTAAAAGCAGAAATGGTCATGTTGGTTGGAGTAACCCTGGGAAAGGGAAAGGGAAAGGAAGGAAAGGAAGCCGAACGTCTTCTAGCAAACATGTTTTTATGTAAAAATAACATTATTATGCAAAAATAATTCAACTATAGCAATTTACTATCTTCATTGTAAATATATTTATCACTAGATAACAGATTTCAAGGTTTGTACAACATGACTGTCACGGGTTTGGGGTGAATGGGTTCAGTGTGCAGAGATTTGGACACAGAGTCTTTAAATTTAAGGACTTTATTATAAAGCAAACATTTATAATGAAAAAGTCCCAATGCAAAATAGAAGCCGAAAATAAGGCAATATCTTCATAAAAAGTAAAAGTCCTTAAGATAAAATAAAGTCTTTTACCAGAGTTTCAGCACTGCGCAAATTATAAAAGGCTTGATTGAAGTTGTAGCAGGGGTTAACCCAAGGCTGGACCAGGGTTGCAGGGGTTAACCCAAGGCTGGAACATGGTTGCAGGGGTTAACCCACACAGGAACAGGATTGCTGGTGTTGACCCACAAAGGAATAGGATTGCAGGGGTTAACCAGAGTGCAGGCAGCCAAAGGTTCATTCAGAAAGTCCAGGCAGGTGAAGGTAATCAGATCACTTCAGGTAGGATCTGGCTCTGTACTCTAGTGAGACAACAGGGGTCCTGTGTATTAAAAGGGGAGAGGTAAAGTACCATGGGTACTTGCGACTCTCCACAATCAGTAAGACTGGTGTCAATAGTAACATTCAGCCACGAATGAACACCACTGGGACACTGATGAATGGGAAATCCATCCATCTGTTGGCAGATTCATATGTAGTAGTTACAAGAGAACCTCAGAATTCCCATGCCACAAGAAGATAAAAGATCCTGAAGGGAGAACGAGTGGAAGCTTTCAAATAAGGATGCCAATATGAAGCCCAGAACCTCCATAGGCATAGGGAGAACTTAAATCTGAAAGCAAGTGGAGCAAAGCTCCTCCAGCTGACAGGAACACTATAGTCACCTAAATTACTTTAGCTAAATAAAGCAGTTTTAGTGTATAGATCATTCCCCTTTAATTTCACTGCTCAATTCACTGTCATTTAGGAGTTAAATCACTTTGTTTCTGTTTATGCAGCCCTAGCCACACCTCCCCTGGCTATGATTGACAGAGACTGCATGAAAAAAAAGAAAAACAGGTTTCACTTTCAAATAGATGTAATTTACCTTAAATAATTGTATCTCAATCTCTAAATTGAACTTTAATCACATACAGGAGGCTCTTGCAGGGTCTAGCAAGCTATTAACATAGCAGGGGATAAGAAAATCTTAATTAAACAGAACTTGCAATAAAGAAAGCCTAAATAGGGCTCTCTTTACAGGAAGTGTTTATGGAAGCCTGTGCAAGTTACATGCAGGGAGGTGTGACTAGGGTTCTTAAACAAAGGGATTTAACTCCTAAATGGCAGAGGATTGAGCAGTGAGGCTGCAGGGGCATGTTCTATACACCAAAACGGCTTCATTAAGCTAAAGTCGTTCAGGTGACTATAGTGTCCCTTGAACTTCTGGAACAGTTTAATATGCAGCAGAGTCCACAATTAACCCCAGGAACAGCTCTCACATGCAAAATAGCTGCAGCTATTTGTCAGTAATGCAACAAGAACAGGCGGAATTACTCCGTTGTATACAATAGGGTAAATAACAGTACATACAGTTCTCCATCAAGTCTTCTACCAATAATGTCTTATTTTTCATGCTGAAAACAACTCTCAGCCCCACCAAAAAAAAAATACTTCGCTCCATTTTGTCCATATAATTCAAACAAATGCCTCAAAATTCCCACCCAAGTAAGAGGAACCCCTATCCTACAACCCTGAGTCCATGACAGCAACTATCACAGTATGCATAGATTTCTTCCAAAAGGAAGAACCCTGCTGCTACAGGAACTCGGCTGCGTTAGAATTCTGAGTGGATGCTGTGGTATTAAAAGAGGAGACACTCAGAAGCATTGAATGAAAACAAAATTTAAACAAAAGATCACCGCTGGGAGGAGGCACTCTTGCTGCCAATAACCATGAAGTTGATAGCATCCAGACCAGTGACACAAAAGACCTTGCCCTGAAAAGGCAGCGCCTAAGGACTTACTTGGCGCACAAGTAAAGAGTTGCTTTCCAGAACTTGAGACAAAATATCTCTTGAGGGGGCGTGGCTTGGAGGCCGAAAGACATGGCAACATAAACCTTGTGCTCCCCATAGACTTGGCACAAAACCTCGTCCATACGCTTTCAAATCCTGAAAAACTGGAAAAACCCATCGTGTTTCCCACGCTGGTAAGCCCGCCAACACACCGAAGGGGGGGAGGGAGAGAGAGGGGGGGGAGATCTCTCCTCAGGATGAACTGAATGTTTGTCAGTTCATCCTGAGGAAAGCCCCTGACAAGGGCTGAAACGTTGGTGTGACGATTTTATGGATACGTTTTGAATAAAGAAAAATTTCAAGACTGTGAGTGAAAGCAGTTTTTTCACAATATATATAGATCTCTCTCTATCTATATCTCTTGCAACTGCACTCAAGGATTCAGACTTGATGTTAAGTTGTGACACGGGTGCTATGGATGGTCTCCACTTACTAAATCTGGCATTTCCTGACAGTGCATCTTCAGCCTAAAGGATGACTTGTCCTACAAGCTAGCCAAACAGACAGTATGGTGGAAAAGTGCACCAAAGACCTGAAAGGAGCACCTAAGGAACTCCTTCAATTTCTTGTACATAGGATCCTTAAACAATAAACTATCCACCAAAGAAATAGTATCCTTCTTGTCCAAGGCAGCAATATCCCCATCTACCTTAACAGTAGGAAGAAATATCTATTAAACTTAGGGGAAAGGACAAATGCAAAATTCCTTAGTTTGTCCTGCATATTTATGGTCAGTATACATCTGCAAAGATGCAATAAATCATGTGGAAACCAGCAGCTTGCTGGCTGGCTCTGAAACCTAGGAGTAGGTATTTGGCTATGAGATAGCAGGATCTGCAGCAATTACCTGCCTGAGTCTGAAGGAGCTTGGATAATAGTTTGTTTTTATAATTTCTGTAGTTTGTCGGAGTGTCTTTTCAAATACTAGGAAAACCTACTAGAATGAGCTGTGAACTGCTCTTTATCTGCAATATGAAGACCTTGGATCAGATGAACTGAGAGACAGCCAAAACAGACACTTATGCAGGGAACATATGCTTCTTAAGAGAAGCTGTGGTCCAATAACATTGCTCAAATTACAGACTGAGTAAAGTGAAGGAATACCAATGCAGAGCCTCCAAGGTCACTCATTCGCATCCTACAGTGGCATGGGGCACACTGACAAATAATCTGGCACTTGCCGGAAATACCCTTCAGATGTCTGCAAACAGAGAGGTTATACCCTGCCTGGAGATCATTCCCAGATGTCCACTGTGGTGTAAATCTGTGAGATCTGATGAAGTAGCAGACTTTACATGTTTCCAATCAAGGTACAGAGCTAATTAGAGGATCACTGCTTAAAGGACCACTATAGTGCCAGGAAAACATACTCGTTTTCCTGGCACTAGTGCCCTGAGGGTGCCCCCACCCTCAGGGTTCCCCTCCCGCCCGGCTCTGGAAGGGGGAAAGGGGGGGAAAAAAAAAACTTACCTTTTTCCAGCGCTGGGCGGAGAGCTCTTATCCTTCTCTCCTCCTCCGATCCTCCTCCTGGGCTGAATGCGCACGCGCGGCAAGAGCTGCGCACACATTCAGCCGGTCGCATAGGAAAGCATTTACAATGCTTTCCTATGGACGCTGGAGTGCTCTCACTGTGAAAATCACAGTGAGAAGCACGCAAGCGCCTCTAGTGGCTGTCAATGAGACTGCCACTAGAGGAAATAGGGGGAAGGCTTAACCCATTCATAAACATAGCAGTTTCTCTGAAACTGCTATGTTTATAAAAAAATGGGTTAACCCTAGAAGGACCTGGCACCCAGACCACTTCATTAAGCTGAAGTGGTCTGGGTGCCTAGAGTGGTCCTTTAAGGCTTACAGGATTTAGCAGGGGAGGGGAGGCAGGTGCCCCTCAAAGATGAAAACATCCTCAACATCAACATCCTCAACTTCAGGCTAATGCTGCATCTTCAAAGGCTTTTGTCCAGCCTGCAGTTTAAAAAATAAATTAAAAAAAATGTATGCCCTGCTGATTTTCTGTGGAGATGCATAGATCTTCATAACCCATAATGTAGCCATAGCTCTGGTACAATGAGCTTTGAGTCCTAAAGAAGATTTTACAAAAGGAGGAGTAGGCAAAGTTAGTCTTCTTAATTCACCAATGACTGTTCTCCTGATGTTCTACTTGATATGCCAAGGACTGTTTAGATGATTATTTTCCTTTGGCCAAACTGTGACACAGAACCAACAACTGTAAAATGGTTCTCTGAAAGTAGCTGGGCAAGTTAGGGGAGAGAGGAGAGAGAGGGAGAGAGGGAGAGAGGGAGAGAGAGGGAGAGAGAGGGAGAGAGAGGGAGAGAGAGGAGAGAGGAGAGAGAGGGAGAGAGAGGGGAGAGAGGGAGAGAGAGGGAGAGAGAGGGAGAGAGAGGGAGAGAGAGAGGAGGAGAGAGAGGGAGAGAGAGGGAGAGAGAGGAGAGAGAGGGAGAGAGAGGGAGAGGGAGAGGGGAGAGAGAGGGGGAGAGGGGGAGAGGGGGAGAGAGAGAGAGAGAGAGAGAAAACCACTTTGCCTCAAAAAATTCAATTAAATTTATGAATCGACTACAAACATTATATTATATTATATTTACAGCCTCCAAAATGTTCCCTTTGGCTTTCAGCAGCTCGGAGAGCCAAACCTTCCTGGGTTACAATAGCCATGACACCAATTAATGTAACCCTGCCCTATCTTTTGAGGAATAAGACACAGAAAAAATATGTCAGCTGAAAATGCCAAGGATTTGCTTGGTTTGACATCTGAAAAGAGAACCGGGGTGGGGGGGGAATGTCTATCTTAGAGAGCCTCTCGGTATCCAGTTGGGCAGCTATAGCATTTTAAGTGTGCAGAATTGTTCCTTGCGTGCAGAATAATAAACATGGCTTAAAGTGTGCTAGTTATGCAAAATGGCTGTCAAGTGCAACAGAGTCGCTACATGCGCTCCAATGACTATAACCTGCCTCTTCCAATATGGCCGTCACTAGGGCCAGCCACTTTCTTAAACCTGATGGAATGCATATGCCCCTGGCACGTATTCAATCCATTGGAACAGGAGGGAGAGTTGGAAAGGATGAGAGCATTGCCACATCAGACTCTGGAGAGTTCTGTAGGAAAGCATATGGATGTGTCCCCAAAAGAAACCTATGCTGTCCCATTAGACTCCAAATAAAACTATATGTCTAAGTTACAGTAAATATATGTAGTATAATGGCATTGTTGATGGCAAACTCAAGTCAAACGACTGTTTGGCAACCCACAAAGCAGCTCCAATGAACTGCTTGAATATTTTTGCATTATACATGTAACCTTGGATGTACGTTATAGCCTGTGAACACTGGCTGGTAGTTTATTTACAGCCCATCACTACCAGCCAAACACCCACATTATGCAAGTGACAGTTGTTGAGACTGTACAAGTGTGGAGCCAGGCTTTGTGTTTCTGGAAGATAAGTCTTTTTTGGCCTCAACCTGCTTGGAAACAGTTTAACATAAACCAAACAAAGTACCCCCCAAAAAAAACAAAACAAAAATTATGGATAGCATCTATAGACGCTTTGCACTATAAACAATACACCAAGCTGTGGTCATTATGGCCTAATTTTAGTGAATATAATGCCATACCCGCCCCCCCCCCCTTTTGTCTACCTATTTTGTAGTTCGCTGGCAAAAAAAAAAAATGACTTTAACCCGTCAACTTCAGTCTCACTGATTATGCAGCAGATTAACCACATTTCCCAAAGTAACACTCTAACAGTGTTTATAGGGAATTTTAGATTATGGGCTTCCTTTAAAAATAAAATTTTAAAAAATATTCCTATTTTATCCTGTACCAGGCAGTATCCACTGTGCAGCTGTACCTCTTCTTCTGCGATCATTGCTCAGATAACCTTTAATCCAACTCAAAGCTAATGGGCATATGCAGTATTCACATCTTCCAGAGGCTTCATGCTATGTTATGTCGCAGAATTAAAAAAAAAAAAAAATCTCCAAGGACAATTACCAATTAAGCCAACTTTAACGGTCAGTGCCTGGAGTGTCCTGGCATCTGCCCAAGGTAAGCAGTCAAACTGTTTGATAACTGACCACTAAGTGCAGCTACACCTCTGTTGTAGTCTGAGAGCTCTACACTAGTGAAGAGAGGCCCTTATGGGGCAGCGCACACCTGACACATGGTAGGTTTAGCGCAGTTCCTAAAAGGAGTTTCTAGCTCCAGAGGAGGAGTGGAACTAGACACTTTTTAGCCCCAGGTAAATTGCCATACCATTCTTAAATAGTTTCACTACTTACTCTGATAGAGCGCCAGAGTGCTCCTGGCACTAAGACCACTACACAGACTGTAGTGCTTATGGTGCTTGGAGTGTACAAGACTTTCAGTCTTAAAGGACCACTCTAGGCACCCAGACCACTTCAGCTTAATGAAGTGGTCTGGGTGCCAGGTCCAGCTAGGATTAACCCATTTTTTATAAACATAGTTTCAGAGAAACTATGTTTGTAAATGGGTTAATCCTTCCTCCAATTCCTCTAGTGGCTCTCTCATTGACAGCCGCTAGAGGCGCTTGCGTGATTCTCACTGTGAAAATCACAGTGAGAGCGCGCAAGCGTCCACAGGAAAGCATTGTAAATTGTAAGTGCGCATTCAGCCGAATGGGAGGAGAAGAGGAGGATCGGAGGAGGAGAGCTCCCAGCCCAGCGCTGGAAAACCCCTTTCCTCTCCCCAGAGCCGGGCGGGAGGGGGGACCCTGAGAGTATGTTTTCCTGGCACTATAGTGGTCCTTTAAAGTTTGTGCACAGCATCTGGAAGTGGACATGAAAGAAGACAGGGGTGTAAGGGATGGAGTTCCTTTCAGTATTTAATTAGGAGGTGTTCCTGTGCATCCATCTGTAGTGCTTCCATGAAATATATCCCTGACAAGCAAATAACGGTAAGTATGATTTAATTTTCTGTTTTAAAAATGAGAAGTGAAAATTTGATGACAGTTATCTTTCTAAGGCTACCACTTCTGATGATGTCAGCAGACTGCTTGTTTTTCTGAGGCAAACAGCATGTAGAGTTACAGCTTCAGGCTTGAATACAGTAAGATTTTACTATATTTATGGAGGCATGAGGGGCCCAAGAGGGCTAGATGGTGGTTTTAACCCTATAGGGACAGAAATACATGTTTGTGTTCCTGACCCTATAATGATCTTTAAACTCCCCTACCTCCATAAGAAATAGTCATCATACTCCCACACACAATCACAGTCTGCCAACCCCAAACATAGTCACGCTTGGCCAACTGCGAAAAAAAGCAACCCCAGCCAAACCCACCAAAAAAAAAAAAAAAAAAGGCAAGAGGGGTAGTGAAGGGGGTTTAACTTATGCTTGCACCGACCTAAAGTTGTGTTTAGCAGTATGCGCTTTGCGACCATTGTTTTAAAATGCATTATAACCACTTGTCCTTTGTGCCAAAAAGGGGCATATCTCCATCACGGTCATACCACCAACTAGGTATGTTCAATTCCAGCGATACACGCCAGACAACCCTCTCTTACACTTACCTTGTGTTTACTTTCTAACGCAGAAGCTTCTTCCACAATATCTTTGCACTTTGTTATCTGGAAACAATAAAAAAAAAATATCACGAATAGATCTGCATAGAGATACAGAAGACACAGCCAGATTCCCATTTTCTTACACACAAACGTCAATGTTACTGTCTACCTCCTTAGAGATCAACATCCAGCCCTTACTAACAGGCTATGACTGCACAGATGACTTGCATGGGCACTCAGAGGTTTCTAAACTACATTTCCCATAAGGTTCAGCGCTGGCTGAGAATCATGGGAAATGTAGTTCAGCAGCACCTTTGCTGCATAGATTCACCTTTCCTCATGTAATATAACCATAATTGTGTTAGTCTCAGTCACGGACTGTAAGTCCCCTCCTCCTCCCCCGTTTGCCTGTGTCTTGGTTGCCATAGCTTGCTATAGCTGTCTATACACATCGCTATACATACTGTCTGACACAGGCAGGGTGCGGTGACGTCACGGACGAGCCCTGAGGTCGGGGTTAGAGAAGCCGAGGTGAGAGCTGCTCAGTAACTCTCTACAGACACCTGCCAGGACGCACTGTACCCAGCCGCAACACTACGGAAGCCGAGCTGGGACAAGAAACCCTACAGCGCGTTTTTTTTGTCTGCACAGCTCTCCTTGCGTGTAGGAGTCAGCCCCGGGCTGTGGAAGCAGTGCAGTGATAGAGAGCCAGGGAGCGGGACACTCTATCATGATCCCAGTGTGTCTCTATTGCTGAGCTGCTTCCGGTCCCAGCTGGAACGCAGTATCGGGGGGGGGGAGGGGGAGGAGGGGGGATTGCAGCTTGCTGATAGGGACACCCTGCTCCTCCATTCAATGCTGTGTACTACAGCTGAAGGACTGCAAGAGCATGTTTTAACTCTCTCAGCTTCCTCAGGATGCACTTTAACCATACATACATGGGCTTCACACAAACATCAATTACACCACACATTTTCACGACACTTATGTTAAACACACATAACATACATCTTATTTACATACATACACTTCCCTCTCACCTCTAGGTCTGCTACATTTCCACCTTGTTTGGTTGCTGTCACGTTTGCTGCCCTGTTGTGTATTTGTACCCCCACCTCCTCTAGACTGTAAGCTCGTTATAGCAGGGCCCTCATTTACCAATTGTTCCTGTGTCACTGTGTAATTGTCTCATTTATTGTAAATTTCCCCATCCTTTTTACAATATCGTAAAGTGCTGTAGAATTAGTTGGCACTATATAAATACCAACAATAACTAGAAAAGCTACAATTTCTGGGGAAATTGTGTGAAGTGTTCTTGCCTCCACCAGTTGTCTACAACTGGAGTGGCTTGAGTAACTGTTGTGTGGGTGGAGTGGGCGGAGTAACTGTGGAAAGTTTGGAGTGTGGTTCACTCACTCTACAGCAAGGGCAGAGAAGAGCTTTCAAATCTTTCGAACATTCCACCAACTGCCAACAAGAACTAATAGATTTCAAATAGGGCAGAGAAGAGCGGTTAAAAACAAACTGCTCCAAATTGCTCACTTCACTGGTGGTTGCCATCTTCAAACGGTCGTATTTTAATAACTATAAATCCTACAGCGAAGAGCTTTATATTGTGAGAATCACAAGACCCAGACCTACAGTTTCGATATTGCCCTTCAAATTTGAGCTGGCTAGAGTGGAGTTTCAATGAATTTCAATGGATGGTGTGAGTTGCAAGCAAATGGTCATATTGTGAAAACTATCAGGACTATGGCTTAGCTGTGGACATTTTTAGTGGCAGCAGGGATAGCTGAATGTTTTGATATAAGATTTGTGTAGGTGGGCTTGAAAATGAGGGAGTGGTGGCAGTTTATAAATAATGTCCTGATTTTTCAGCTTTTGCCAGCTCCCACTCTAGCTTTGCCATTCATTCCTATGGGACAAATTGCGCCACAAGAACGACAATATTCCGCAAAACGTTCCACAAAGTAATAGCAATCCAATCGGGAGCAAACCGCACATTTCGGTATATTACTGTCTATGTAGTGTAAAAACTGTGGGAGGAGTTAGGGTGGTAAATTTGGCTATGTGTCAATTGCATGGCAGGCAGACAGAGGAGATTTCTCCCATGATACACACTAGGTAAGCAATCTTCTTTTGGTTATCACACTGCCCCCACACTGTAATGGGAAAAAAGGTCAGTGCTCCCCTCATAACACTGTCACTCTCCCACACTGTCCCCAAACAGTCACCCTCCCACACTGCCCTAACACTGTCCCCAAACAGTCACCCTCCCACACTATCCCCAAACTGTCACCCTCACACACTGCCCCAAAACTGTTCCCAGTCACCCTCCCACACTGCCCCCATGCTTTCCCACTCTCACAGCGCCACCACACTGTCCCCAAACAGTCACACTGCCCCCACACTGTCACCCACCTCACACACTACCCCCACAATGTGACTGTCACACTGCCCCCAAACTGTCAACCCCCCACTGTCACACTCCCTCACTGCCCCCACACTGTCCCCCTCCCTATGCACTGTCACTCATCCACACTACCCCCAAACTGTCACCCTTCCACACTGCCCTCACACTACCGCAAACTGGCACCCTCCCACACTGTCACCGATCCACACTACCCCCTCTGTCACTCTCCCACACTTCCCTTAACACAGTGTCAACCTCCCACAATACCCCCACACCGTCACCTTTCCCCACTATCCCCACTCAGTCACCATCCCACACTGCCCTCCCCCACTCTGTCTCCCTCCCACGATATCCCCACACTGTCACCTTCCCACGCTGCCTCCATATTGTCACCCTCCCATGCTGTAACCCTCCCACGCTGCCCCCTCCCTATACACTGCCTCCACATGGTCTCCCTCCTCACACACTATCCCCACTCTGTCAACACCCCAAACTATCACCCTCCCACACTACCACAAACTGGCACCCTCCCACACTGTCACCCACACTACCTCCTCTGTCACCCTCCTACACTGCCCCAAAACAGTGTCACCTTTCCACACTACCCCCACTCTGTCACCATCCCACATTGCCCCCCCACTCTGTCAACCTCTCACACTGCCCCAACACAGTGTCACCTTTTCACACTACCCCCACTCTGTCACCATCCCACATTGCGCCCCCTACTTTGTTACCCTCCCATACTGCCCCCACACTGTCATCCTCCCCAGGGGAAAAGTAGAGGAGCCTAGGGCAGGAGAAAATCAGGGGGATCCTGGGGCTGAGGAGAAATAGGGAGAGCCTGGGGCAGAGGAGGAGTAGGGGAGCGTTGGGCAGAGGAGAAGCAGGGAAAGCCATGGGCAGAAGAAAATTAGGGGAGCCATGGGCAGGGGAGCCTAGAGCAAATGAAAAGCAGTGGAGCTATGGGCCGAGGGGGAGCAGGGGAGTCTGAGGCAGAGGAAAACCAGGGAATGGAGGAGCAGGGAGAGCCTTGGGCAGAGGAAAATCAGGAAAACCTTGGGCAGAGGAGGAGTAGGGAAGCCTGGGGCAAACAAAAAGCAGGGAAAGTCTTGGGAAGAAGAGGAGCAGGGAGAGCCTTGGGCAGACACGGAGCAGAGAGAGCCTGAGGGAGAAGAGGAGCTTAGAGATTGTTAGGCAGAAGAGGAGCAAAGAGATCCTTGGCAGAAGAGGAGCAGGGGAGCTTAAAGCAAATGAAAAGGAGTGGAGCTATGGGCCGAGGGGGAGCAGGGGAGCCTGAGGCAGAGGAAAACCAGGGAATAGATGAGCAGGGAGAGCCTTGGGCAGAGCAAAATCAAGGGAACCTTGGGCAGAGGAGGAGTAGGGGAGCCTGGGGCAAACAAAAAGCAGAGAGAGCCTTGGGAAGAAGCGGAGCAGTGAGAGCCTGGGAGAGAGGAGGAGCAGGTGAGCCTATGGCAGAAGCGGAGCAGGGAGACCCTGTGGGAGAAGAGGAGCAGAGAGATTGTTGGGCAGAGGAGGAGCATGTGAGCCTGGGGCAGAAGAGAAGCAGGGAGAGCCTGGGGCAGTGGAGCAGCAGGGAAAAGACTGGGGCAGAGGAGGAGCAGGGGAAAGACTGGGGCTGAGGAGGATCATGGAAGAGGAGGGGGGCAGAGGAGAAGGATCATGGAAGAGCTTGGGGTAGAGGAGGAGGATCATGGAAGAGCCTGGGGCAGAGGAGGATGATCAGGAAAGAGCCTGGGGCAGAGGAGGATGATCAGGGAAGAGCTTGGGGCAGAGGAGGATGATCAGAAAAGAGCCTGGGGCAGAGGAGGAGGATCAGGGAAGAACCTGGGGCAGAGGAGAATGTTCAGGAAATAGCCTGGGGCAGAGGAGGAGGATCATGGAAGAGCCTGAAGCAGAGGAGGATCATGGAAGAGGAGGGCAGAGGGGGAGGATTGTGGAAGAGCCTGGGGCAGAGGAGGGGGATCAGGGAAGAACCTGGGGCAGAGGAGGAGGATCAGGGAAGAACCTGGGGCAGAGGAGGATAGTGGAGTCTGGGGTAGAGGAGAAGCAGTGAGAGCCTGAGGCAGAGAAAAAGGGGAGATGGGGCAGAGAAAACATCAAAGTTTGAAATAAACGTAACTATATTAATAACAAACATTTCTCTAATATGAGGGGGTACAATTTATGGAAATGGGCTGCCAAGGAGTACTCAAGTGAAAAAAAGTTTGGGAACCACTGATCTAGGGGAACAAGATCCAAACTATTTGCAGATCTTGGAAAAAATTTAGGCATTTCTGTTTGGATCATGGGATTAACCTCAAAGCGGAGTATTTTGTACAAAGCAGTTGCGGACTGGAACTCCAGGTTCCTGACATGTATATTGTATTTGAAACTATTTGAATTATATATTTGATTTAGGATTCACATGTGATAACTGATTTTATTGCAGGCAGCATGCTCCTCTTATGCTTTACTCTATTTACTACTCCAAACAGCAGCAATAAAAGAGTTAAATAACAAGTCTAAATGCACTAAAACATTTACTAGTACAACCAAACATAGAACACAGGTAACCAATTTGCATGCAGCATACGTAATCTAAGTCAGAAGCAGGTAATCCAAGTCCTTTTGTAATCCAACATTACCAGGTTTTTCTCAATCGTCTTTGGGGTCCCTTTTGAATTTACATCTACCATGGTTCTTCAGTTGGCATCCAGAGGCTTCTGGCTTTTCTACAAGACTGGTCTCTAGGCACAAATTATGTGTTTCCTCCGTTCATCTTGTTTCCTCAGGTTTTATCTCAAACACTCAGACAGAGAACCATAATTCTTGTAAGAATTCCATGGTGGAGAACTCAACCATGACTCCCACAGTTGTTGGAAATGTTGATAGATATTCTCAGAATTCTTAGAATATTCGACAAAGTTTTGACAGATCCATACAAGAAACCTCACCCTCTAATTCTGTCCCAACAACTTCAGCTGGTGGCCTGTTTAATGTCAAGCTGTCCAAAAGTGATTGTGAATTTTCAACATCACTAAAGACATACTGTCAGATGCCTGGACATTTGGAACAGATCAGCCAGGCAAATTTGCGTTCATTGGTCTTAGACATCTTACAGCGACAATTTACACCTCAAGGGGTTCAGATTCAAATTTTCATATGTACCAAAAACAATATTAAATCATTTTTTATGGAACACCCTCATATGTGTGTGGTCCAATGTCTCAAATGCTATGAATCCAAAACACCATTGATCTGGGATTCAGATAAATCACAGTTACTAATTGTAAACTAATTGTAAACCACACCTACCTGTTTCCTTAGTTACGGCTAGATGGATTTGCAACACAATCTCTTTAGCAAGGATTGACATTACCAAATGTGGCCCTCATTCCACTTGGGGGAGCTATTTCTACCAAAGCTTTCCAAACTAGATGTTTACTTTTTGATATTCTAAAAGCTGCTGGTTGGTCTTCTGATTCTACTTTTAAAACGTTTTATTTTCATCCTATTTCTCATGTGTCTTTGGTAACTGAAAGGGTTAAAATGTATTTAGTGGTCTTTCACAAAGCTGAAGCCAGTTCTGACTAGCTTACAGGCCCGGACTGGCCATCGGGCACACCGGGCAAATGCCCGGTGGGCCGCGGTGTCCGTGGGGCCGAGGCCGGCAGGGGAGGTCCCAGGATCTCCCCTGCCGGTCTATGCAGGGCCGGCACTCTCCTAGCGCCGGCCCCGCTGTCTGCCACGACGGGCCGGTGGGGAGATCAAAGATCTCCCTCACCGGCCCACATGCGGCCGCCGGCGGGGAGGGAGGGAGACAGCCAGCCAGGCTGGAGAGAGGACCCGGCGGAGCTCTAATTTGCGGCTCCGCCGGGATCCTCTCGCGAGATCCGGCGCGTTGCCATGGCAACGACCGGATCTCGCGAGGAGTTCACTCACCCACGAGGACCACCAGGGAACACTGCCTCCCCGCCTCCAGTCCCAGCGTGCCGGTCCCCCCCTCCCAGGCTAAAGGTAAGAAGG